CTCAATAACATAATAAACGCCTATCTGCATTCCGCCATAGGGCCAGTTCCTCACAGCAAGAAATAATACTTCTAAAATACCATGCCTCGAACGAACTGAGCCAAACCCCCTTCAAAACACCCTCCTTCCAACCTTGCAAAATAACTCCCTACCGAAAAAAAAAACCCTCAAACAAGCGATATCGTACCCCGACTCTCCACCGCCCTCCCCTCCCCCGTCAAATCCTCCATACTCGTACTCTCACTCTTCGTCTTGACCTCCCCCCTGCCCAACCACATCCCCACTACACTTCCCCTCTTCCCCCCAGGCGCAGGTCCAATCCCATCTCCAACTCCCCCATTCCCAAGCCCATCATCCCCCGCCTTCTTCTTCCCCCCCTCCGCCCGCCTCTGCCTCAACTCCTCCCTCCTCTCCCTCACCCACCCCTTCACCTCCCTCCCCAACTCCCGACACGCCGCCCACGAAGTAACCACATAAATAATCGCATTCCAGAACCCCTGCAGCGGCAGCACCGCGGCGGACGCATAGAACAGCGGCGGTGACACCTCGCCTTCGTGGATGATGCTGTACACGCGGTTGCCCGACGACGGGATCCAGGTGATCAGCAGCACGGAAAAGAAGAGGAGCGCGCATTTGGTGTAGGACCAGGTGGCGTTGTGGGATTCGTAGTGTTGGTTGCGGGTTTGGTGGTGCGGGTTGTTGTTGGTTTTGGAGCTGGCGCCTTTGCTACTTTTGCCGCCGCGGCTGGTTTTGGTGAGCGTTGGGGTGAGGGTTGTGCCGGTGGTGGTGGTTGTGATGTTGTCGGGGGCGGTGAGGGTGGGGGTGCCGAGCGAGGCGGTGATGGTGGCTGTGACGGTGGGTGCGATAGATAGGCGGCCGGGGGAGATGTTGTTGTTGGGGTAGTCGATGACGGAGTTGTTGCGGTGTATGCGGGGGGTACCTCGGGGCAGGGTCGCGTTGTCGGATGTGTCATATTCGTCGTCGGTTGGGGAGGTGTGTTGTGCTTGTTGGTCGTGCTCGGCGGAGATGGTGACGGAGTACGGGTGGGGCACCTCGTCGTCGTCGTCGTCGGAAAGGTCGGGGTTGCGGCGGGTGGTTGGAGAGTGGACGATTTCTGTGGTTTGGGTCACCTCGGTGGTTTTGTAGTTCATCACCGACGAGAACTCGTGGGCCGGGAAGAAGGTATCGTTTCCAACCACAGTGCCGTTGCCGGTGGTGCTGAAGTTGAGCATCTTGCGTCGCTGGCGGTATATCTCTGCCCCGGCGCGGATGTAGATGATCATACAGGCAATGATGGCCACCCTGTCTGTGTTAACGGGCGGAAGCTTAGGGTTGATGAAGAGCAAACATACCAGACGGGCCCGTAAAACGTAGCAACACGGTAGACTTCCCACGACGACTTCAGCCAACACCACAGCACTGCATCACCATACGGCCGTCCCATGCTCGGGTTCGACACAAAGATGAATACAAAGCCCGGGATAAACGGGATTCCGTAGCAGGTCAACAGGTAAAAAAGCTCCATCTTCCTCAACATCCTCGCGTCATACTTATGGTAAAAGGTGAGGTACACGTTGATAGCCATCGCCAAGGCCCAGTACGCATCGCTTTGCATGAACCTGCAGTCACCGTGAGCTTATGGAACCACCACTGCTAGAGAGGAACAGGCCTTACACTTGGATGAGAAACCCCTGCATCTGACAGCCAACCGAGTCCGGCATATGCGTGTAGCTCGTCGTCATGAGCGTCGCCACGTTGGTCAACATGTTACCGAAGGTTGCATAGAACACCATCCGGTTAATGGCCCGCTGCCGGAACGCTTCCATGGCCGAAAACGTCACCAGCACGAACACGCATCCCAGCAGCGACAGCGCCGAGCATGCTCGCTCGATAGCCACGATGTGGGCCGTGTCGGAGGAGGATACACCGTGCATCGTGGTTGGTGCGGTCGATTCGGGGGTAATATGTTCTGCTAGTGGGAATGGAAGAGATCGAAATCGTACACCCACGCTCGTGGGAGTATCACCCAGAGAGTTTCTTCATAAGATATGGACGGCAATGACTTGGGTAGAGTTACTGCCAATCCGAGAAATGCTTTACTCTCTGTCAGCTCCGAAAGGAGTGTCGAAGGTGAGTGAGCAACGAAGGCGGGCTGATGACAAAGGAGTCGGGAAGAGAACCCGAACAACTTGTTCCCGTTTTCGAGAGCACAAAACACAGAATAAAAGTCACATCGGCCCAGTCTGTTGGGCCCCCTGAATTCTCTTTTGATAGCGGCCGAAGGTCACCATTTCAAGACTGCTCGCGTCGCTTTTGGAGTGAGACGCTGCATGGGCGGGAGCATGGTGATGGAATGCATTGCCGAACCCTTGCAGGACACCCAGAAAGACGGGTTCGAGGAACCGTTCGGGGTTCAACACCATTGGATGTTTCATTGATGCCCAGTCGCCGGGTTACGTTCTTAGTGAGACGCCGCCCTTTGCAAGCTCGAATGGGGTTTGGTCGGCACCCTCAGGGAGGGGATGCTAGCGAGGTTCTACTCCGCAGGGATATCATGAAGGAACGCTAAAGGCGCCACAACACCCCAGGCCCCAGAACCAAACTTTATTGGTATGTGGATACATTACACCGTGCGTCGCGTGGACTGCGTAGTCCGTAAGGGGACAACGCGACGGCAGGTGTGGTAAGTGAGGTGTATGGAATGTGTGCCTCAACTGTTTGACTGTGGTTAGCAAACCAAACAAGAACGCAGTGCTGAGGACGGAGTACCCAATTACCCCAAGAAGGGCACAGCTCAATTCGGCAACCTGTACGGATACCTCCTTTGCGTCAACACAGCCAACAACAAGATAATGGCCCAATCTCCGCTCCGGAGCCGGGGCTGAACCGGGGTCTCTTATTTGGCGGCCGTTATAACCCGGGGCCCGGGGGCCGAGCCGAAGTTGAAAAGACGATCGTGCGCCCAGATTCCCAAAGAAACCGTTGTCTTACCTCTCCGACAGAACCTCGACCCAATCTGGCTCCATGTCTGAAACCTTCAATCTGCGGGGCTGACGATCCGAACATCATCACCCTCAGCACTCGACAACACCAGCGCCCGCTGCCAATGGGGGATCGAGATCCCCATGCTATTTGAACAACGGTTCAGTCTTCGGTGACCGGTGAGCCTCCTGAGCCCGCACGGATCTCGCACGGGCCGCGTCCGCAAAAACCTGCAGTGGTTCGCCCTCAGCCTTCCAGCCTGTGTTCGTGATGCCAAGACGCCCCGCTGCAGGTCAGCAAGACGCGTTCTCAGAAATTCGCCATGTGGTGGCTGCAAGCCGGCTTTCGTTTGCCCCTGGACCTCGAAACTGCGCAATGGGATCGCACAACGGGACCACAGTGCAGCCGCTTGAAAAGTCCGCCCCTGAAACTACGGCAACTTTCGTAGATGGGACGGTCGATTGACCGCAAGGATGCCCATCGACAAGCCATCAAGGGCTGGGGTCCGGGGTTCTTGAAAGGTTGTGGGTGCCAAATGCTGAAAGGCGCCAAATCACCCATGACCTACTCCGTACCTTGGTACTATGACACGTAAGTAATCTACTAAACCGAGAGGTGGTTAGCCTCGAACTTCACGAAGCGAGATGTCCGAAAAATACCAATAGTATCTTGTGTCTAATGGAAGTTGGGCTTGGGAATGGGACTTGGCCTTACATGCAGCAGCTCGCGTGACAAAAATTTCGTCGCCGCTGCCACACCCAGCTGGGTGTCCGAATCAAGACGGGGACAAGCGAGCTGAAGAATCAGGGCCAGTCGCCTGGAATCTCGCCACTGCCTTGGCAACGGGAACGACCTAAATCCTGCCAGGCGCGACTGACGTTGGACTCAAAATAATTACGGCAAAATCTCACCGGTTCACGAAGACAAGAGGCCCGCAAAGCAATGTTTCCACGGTCCAGACGCCTCGCAGTGTTGAGACATGGAGGCGAGCGACAGGATTGTTGGAGCAAAGAAAAATTGGGAAGCTCTCTCGACCAAAAGAGGAAGACGAATGATAATTGAAGATTTCGGGCCCCACTTGCCGTTTCCGCCGAGTGGGTCGCGAATGTTCCCCACCCTGAGATCGGCCGGGTTTTCCCGCTGTCATTCGCGACCTCGTCTCGTTGGAAGAGGAACAGCCCACAGAGAAAAAAAGAGAAGAAAAACAAAAAGAAGAAGAAGAAAAAATAAAGAACGAAGAATGGTCAACGAGATGTATCCCGACGTGAGGTGTGGTTTCTCTCGTATTACACCGCGGTTACTTGCATGGAATCCGAACCGCTTAGACCTCGTCGAGTCGTCCTGTCCGGTCCCCAAGTCTGAAGTCAGCCGCGTTCGCTCTTTCCTGGTTAGAATCCACAAATTTTGGTTTTAAACACCTGAAAAATGACCAGAGTATAACCTTATTATGTTCAGTAGGTACCTTAATTGATAAACTGCTTACTCTTCCCTCCATTAAAACAAGTCCAGGACCAAACTTTGAACTTTTAGTCGGGACCACTGTCAGAAATCTTGAAATTACGTAAACCGTGCTGTGGAGGGGTTGACCACTCCCTCATCCAGTGCCCCCCGCCAAACCGGCATCAAGAAAGGGAGGGGAACCATACGCATACCTCGTATTGCCTGAGCGGCCGAAGAGTTTTGAATAATTATTAAACGTTACTAAGAACGACAATTTAACCATTTCAGGCTCATGACAATAGTGGACACCCTGAGTTTGAGGTTCCCTGTTCCTAACTTGAAGGCTGGGGAACCTTGTTCGGATCTACGGCCGGGACTCCAATTCAACGAGCAATTACTTTGAAGTAACAAATAGACGGTGGGGCATGTTTGTAGACTTGAACTAACCCGGGGAACGATTCAAACGCATACATGGACTACAACCTCCCGCTTGATAGCACACCTGAGAAACAACCTATGGACTAAGTTACATCAGGCTAGCCAATAGCCATTCACGGCGCTTGAGTAAAGCATTTTTCTCAAAGATTGGGATAATTATAAATTGCGGGGTTTGGATGAGAAGAGTGGAAAGAGTAACAATCCAAGAGGTATTTCAGGGAACAAGCGTACATTCTTGTTAGTGATAGAGCTTCAGGAACTGGACATGGGGCTTCTGAGATAATTATCGCCGTCTTGAATGCTAGGCCTTTCTGTTGATTTTACCGGGCTGCATTGTAAGAGAGAAATATCGTGGAGGTCGGAACCCGCCCATTATGGGTCAGGGGTATTTTTATCCCGGACAACCGCAGTTGGGGACGCTCCTCAACAGCACTAAGCCGTGCTACATGGCTAACTTTGAACGAACATTTCCTAGACATCAATGCCGTGATTCTTTACGCACATCCTGATCAAGTGGTTCGAGTGCTGGTCTCCTCTTGGCAAGTATTGGAAATGGCCCCGTTGAACGCCCGCCGTTATAAATCACGCCCTCTCTTTCTTCTCTGGCAGAGAGAAAAGGAATGCCGTTTCGAACGCTAGAGCTCTAATACCTAAACTTGAGCTAGGTATCCTGAATTTAAACACTGACCAACCCCAATGCACTTCCACATCCGACCCCGGCGATCGGAGTTAAGGCGGCGAGCCAGGGCCAAGAGCGGGGAAACAACGGTAACTGTCCGGGCATGGAAATAAGGAGTGCAGGTAGCCAATGGCTCGGAAGACCGTTGTGGTTCGACCGTTGGACGCTATTATTAGGCCGAGGGCACACGAGGGTGCAGAAAACACGGTGTGTGTCAATCTGTCGCCTACTTTGGACCAGAGTCTCGCTACTGTGTTTCGTTCATGGCCCGCTGGCGGAGTGAAGAGGGTTAACGTCAGAGCTCGAATATATGATATGCAGAGTTAAAAGTCATCAACCACGTGCCCGCGTGAGGTCATATAATATAACGGCAGTCATACCAGTATGGCTGGGGCCGAAAGTTTCTGCGTCATTGACCACCGATAATCAAGGGGCCGACATTGATCAGACCCATATCATCATTCCTCCATTTCTTGATTCAGCCTGCTAGATCTTAGTGATATCAGTCCTGGTGGCTGCCAGCCCAAACCCTCCCGCCGCCAAGAGTTTCCTGGTTGAGACTTCGGGTGTCACGTCTGGCCGGCCAATAAGATTCGGGTTGGTGATGGGAGGACAGCCAGCGGTGCCAACCCGACCACCAGGGAACAACAAGATCGACGGGCATGGTGGTCTTCTTATCCACGACGTCCGACATGTCGCCCAAGGTCCTTCCCGACGCCGCCCACCACATCAGCGAGCTGCAAGGGGCCATTGCAACCTCTAGCTGCCAAGAAAGGACCTTTGCGGGGAAGATTAGCGAGCCGCGATATTCCGAACGGTCGGAACCAGGCCCCTGAAGGACCCTCCAAAGGTGGGCTTCTCCCGGACCGTTGGGTCTGGGTGTTGTCATCAATGATTCGATATCTTTGGAGTGTTGCCAGAGTTCTCACGCAAATCATGGGCGTTGTCCCACCATCTGTTCGGTCGAGACTCATGGGTAGCCGTCGTGGCGGGCGCCCTTGACCTCCCCTTTCACGCCTCTTCGCACTCAAATCCAGTGCCGGCTACGCCGGTTTCGCAGCGGCCTCGCTTGCTAGGAACCAACATCAAAATCCTGCAGGCTATGAGTGATGTCATGTGAGCCTGCGTCCGAAACCCGGAATGTTCTGCCGATTTTCAATTTACCCATTGGATTTTAACAAGGGGCGGGGCGGACGGTGGCAGTGAACGAAATGAGCAAATGAATTTGCCGATCGATTCGAAGTCCATGGAATTTCTGGCCAAGATTCCTTGCGCTTTCTGCTCTCAGCTTAGCGGGTCCCGACACACACTCACGGAGGAGCGGGAAGGTTACCGCACTCCCGCAGACTTCCAGAGAAAGGGCGCCACTGGGGGGGGCTTGCATTTTCCCCATCACCATCTGACTGGCTGTTTTGTTCGCCGAGTTTTGAATGGTGCATATTGTTCCGAGAAAAGAGCGATCAAGAGAGGCTTTTTGCATAGTCAGCTGCCAATTACATCTCCGAAGTTCGGCACACAAAGGCACCTTCCACGACGAAAATGGAAGCCCGGTTTGTCCGCCGTTCGAGTCTCCGCTTGCAACTCAACCCCCCCAGAGGGTCGAGGTCGAGATGGAGGATGAACCCCCGCGGGGGCAGCCACACGGGGGTGGAACAAGGGAGCATGGGGCTCCACTCGCCAAGACCCAAGTGCGCAATTGTTCCCCACTGCCGTGGAGGTCGGGGAAGCCGTAAAGTGCATCCGCATCTGTGCATCACCAACAACGGTTCATGGAACATTGACGACAGAAGACGGAATGTCGGGTAATCTGGGCGGACTTCGGCGTGCGACTATCGCAGGTCGGCTTCAGATCGCGGCGAAATCGCAAGGACCGTACCCGATCACCTCGTAAAACCGGACCGTGAGCGGACGCGCCTGCGGGCCCGTTGCCGTTGCCGGGACGAAGGGTCCAGCCTTGTTCCCACCCTGAGATTGCGGACATTGCAGCTTCGCGTTGCAAAAGGCCGTTTGCGGCGTTTTGGGAACAGCCAAGGCTCGCTGCTGGATCCCACATCCAAGGACTCGCCGTTCAATTGCCAAGGGAAGGAGCGGTGAGCTGTTTTGAGTCCAATTCTTCCGGTCGAACGCCCCTGCAGATGGAATTGTTGGGGGACCACTTGGTCAGCTGATGAGAGTGCTTGTGTGTCACTGGTTGCAACAACCTTGCCTCCTGGGCCGCCATCAACCCGCGCCTGCTCATGACGTCCGCCCCCCGAGTCCCGCATGTTTAGCGAATTAGTTGACAAAACAAACGGCCAACCCAGCCCAGACCGGGCAACGCAACCCCCAAACTTCCCTTTTGCAATTCTTCCTCCACTAGATGAAAACATAAAAAAAATCCTAAAAAAAGGAACCAAAAGGGACGGACTGGGCAAGACGCACTCGGACAAAACCAAGCACGCTTGGGAACAGCCCTGCTATTCACTCGTTCTTGCCTCAAATTCAACTCGCACACTCGCCTCAAATTTAACACGCACACTCGACCTGCCTTGTCCATCCCACCTTCCTTTCATTTTGTGACTATTTCCCAACTCAGGCCACACACACAACACATACCACACGACATACACCACATACCCTCCGCTAAGATGAGGAAAGAAGCATCCATCCTGCGGCCTTCGAACAATGGCAACCGCTATGAGCTCACCAGCCCCACCGCTATGCCCAAGGCAGGCGGCTTTCTCTGGAACCAGAAGATGATGATCCAGATCACCTGCCGCGGGTATGCCACGGCGCAGTTCATGCAGCCGGAGCCCGCGAAGTACGCTTACGCCCCCAATATTGAGGCCAAGACTTTTATGCAGCCGGAGCCGAATTACTACGCCCACCACCCGGGCCGCTTTGTCTACATCAAGGACCTCGAAACGGGCGAGCTCTTCTCAGCGCCTCATGAGCCCGTCCGCGCCACGGCTGATCGCTTTGTTTTTTCCGTCGGCAAGAGCGATGTCGCCTGGGCCGTGGAGTACATGGGCGTCCGCGTCGAGATGGTTATGGGCCTCCCGACCCACGACGTGGCCGAGCTCTGGACGATCCGGGTCACTAACATCTCGGGCCGTCCACGTCGGCTCAGCGTGACACCTTACTTCCCCATCGGCTACATGTCCTGGATGAACCAGTCGGCTGAGTGGAATGACGATGTCGTCGGTGTCGTCGCCAGCTGCGTCACACCCTACCAGAAGGCCACCGAGTACTTCAAAACCAAGTACATCAAGGACAAGACATATTTCCTCTGTGAGACGCCGCCAGATTCATGGGATGCGAGCCAGCAGGCGTTTGAGGGTGAAGGCGGCCTTCATAACCCCTCCGGTCTGCAGGAACCCAAGTTGAGTGGCAGCGATGCGCGCTACGAGACCCCAACGGCCGCCGTGCAGTACCGGATTGCGCTGAAGCCGAACGAGGAGCGGGAGTACCGGTTCATGTTTGGACCCGCCTACGATATTGCCGAGGTCCAGACCATGCGCGCGCGTTACCTGAGCAAGCAGGCATTTGTCCGGGCTGCGGACGAGTACGCGGCGTACATGGCGCGCGGGCGTGGGTGTCTACGCATCGAGACGCCCGACAAGGAGCTCGACAACTTTGTCAACCACTGGCTCCCTCGTCAGGTCTTCTATCACGGCGACGTCAACCGGCTCACCACAGACCCGCAAACGCGCAACTATTTGCAAGACAACATGGGCATGAACTACATCAAGCCCGATGTTCCCCGCAAGGCCTTCATCAGGGCGCTTTCACAACAAGAGGCTAACGGCGCCATGCCCGACGGTATTCTGTTGGCGGAGGGTGCGGAACTCAAGTACATTAACCAGATTCCCCACACCGACCACTGTGTTTGGCTCCCTCTCACCCTCGAGGTCTACCTTTCTGAGACGGGTGACTACGGGCTGCTGAAGGAGCGTGTCCGCACCGAGAATGGAGACAACTTCACCGTCTTTGAGCGTTTCAGCCGCGCCATGGACTTTTTGCTGCAACTACGTGACGAGCGTGGGCTGAGCTACATCGCGCAGGGCGATTGGTGTGACCCGATGAACATGGTCGGGTACAAGGGCAAGGGCGTTTCGGGATGGCTCACCGTTGCGACAGCGTTCGCCTTGAAGATCTGGGCGGATGTGTGTGAGCACGAGAAGGCTACGGACTTGGCAAAGCACTTCCGGGACGGCGCGGCGGATTGCAATGCGTCGGCGAACAAGCACCTCTGGCACGGTGACTGGTTCGCGCGTGGCATCACAGACGACAACGTGGTCTTCGGCATCAAGAAGGATCCCGAGGGCCGCATCTGGCTCAACCCGCAATCATTTGCCATTCTCGGCGGCGCGGCAAACGAAGAGCAGATCTCCCGCATGCTCCCGCAGATCGATTCGCAACTCGACACTCCGTATGGCGTGCTCATGTTTGCCCCCCCATTCACCAAGATGCGTGAGGACGTTGGTCGTGTCACACAAAAGGCGATCGGGTCGGCAGAGAACGGGTCCGTGTACAACCACGCCGGCGTGTTTTACATTCACAGCTTGTACCAGCTTGGCGGGCAGCAGGATCGTGCGTTTAAGCACTTGCGCCAATTATTGCCTGGCCCCACGGAGACCGACTACCGCCAGCGTGGCCAGCTGCCCATCTTCTTGCCCAATTACTACCGCGGTGGCTGGCGGGAGTTCCCCCGGACAGCCGGTCGCTCGAGTCAGCTGTTCAACACCGGCACGATCTCGTGGGCGTACAGGTGTGTGATCGAGGGCCTGTGCGGACTCCGGGGTGATGCGGAGGGCTTGGTGGTGCAACCCCAGCTGCCGAGCGAGTGGAACTCGATCAAGGTCACCCGCGAATTCCGCAATGCGACGTTCCACATCGATATCCTCCGGGCGGGTGTCAAGGAAGTGGTCGTCAAGGTGGATGGCCAGACATTGCCGGAGCCCAAGATCACCAACATCAAGCCCGGTAAGGCGTACCAGGTCTCCGTCCTGGTGCCGCAGTAAAGGCTGAAGGGCCTGCATGCATAAAAGGACGGCCACAAAATGGACGGCCATAAAATAGGTGTGGTGTCAAGGACACCCCAGAGACAGATAGGAACGGGCATGTGAAGCTGGACGTGCTTCACCCACCCACCCGCTCGTTTGTGAGACGGGGCCGGGACAAAAACAGGAAGTAGCAAAACATGGTGTGGTTATCTGATTTTTTGATGTTTTTGATGGTTTTGATGTCGCAAGTTTTCCTGAATATCTTTTTATTATTCCTTGGCATTGTATTAGATAACACCCGAGCGGGACGCGACGACTATCTTGTCGTGGGGCAGCGGATCTGGTCATTATGTCGGCCAGGTCTGAGGAAGGGGCGACCGCAAACTGCATCGGCCGTGGTGGACCCTCAGCAACTTCCGCTTGAGTGGCACACCACTGGCGCCATCCTCTTATTTCCCGTTTTTCGCCGTGCGATGTGCATTTGTCCTGCGGGCAACGGGAGGCCTTCTGTTTCGTTCTGTCACTCACCTGGGCCGGCATTCTTGTCGAATTCAATCTTTACCCCCAACTCGGCACCACACTAGGTAGCCGGGTGGGCTTGCGTTAATATTAAAATTTTTGGATGGACTGCGCTTGCTGTTTACTGATTTTGTGCTGTTTGAGCTGATGATTAATTACTGATTTTGTGCCATTTGAGCTGATGTTTTCAATCATCGCGTTATCACAGCGATGAAAGCCACAACCTTCACCCAGGCTATCAAATGCTAACTCTTGAGGTAGACAATCCTTTCAACCTATCGAGTCAGCCGGAAGTTTCTCCGAGTTGCAATCGGCGTTAAACGCGACTCGTACGGAGGTTCCGTGCGTATAAGTTGGACGTCATTGCGGACTCGGACTCCCACGTCGTCTGAAGTAGCTGTGCAAGCAACGACAGCACGAGATCGGGAATTATTTGCCACGACAAGTTCGCATGAATTTAGTTTCAATATGCTCGTCATCAGATGAGTCTAGGTACGTTGCTGGCAAGAATGTCCATGGTGGTCGTCCTCGTTGATGATGCAAACTGCTGACGGAAAATCCACGAGACAATATGTTGGGGCAAGCCGGTGCTAGACTCAAGGCTTGAAAGTTCCAAGCTACTTGCCGATGCCTCCCACAGCTAAATCTCAGAGCTCGAACCGCATTCTAGTCGCGTTGGTTCAAGGACATACCAAGCAAACTCAGAGATGATTACACATCAACCAACTCGGACGACCCGCCCGACATATCAGTCCAACCCAGGATCTAGGTCTCGTCTCTCGGCACTCGGGGGAAAGAGATAGTCCCAACCCACCTAGACATCACTCCCACGCAATCATGGTATCATCGAGATGATCGACGCGAATGCGCACCAACCAGAGCTCCTATTCCCCTCGAAAGACCCAAGATTGCCGGCTCGACGCGAGTCGACAGCGAGTAAGGCTCTCGCTGTTCGTCTCCCCCATTTCCCGTTTTGGTGAGCGTCGATGACGCGAACACGCGAGGCCGGACGGTTCTCAGGCTTACGAGATCATCATCGGACCTGGCCTCCTCGTTTTTGCAAGGGGGTGGGAGCCCGGACAGTCGGGTTCAGGAGTAAAGTACTTAGAGACCTCCTCGCAAGGCACTGTGTTACGTTTCCCCTCCCCTCTCCTCTGTTCTTAGCTCGACTGCACCAAGCTCACCAACACAGATTTACCTTATCTTCCATAGCCAGAAACCCACGAAGCTCCACCATGAAACTAATCCTCCTTCTGATGTCCCTTCTCCTCCTGCCCCTGGCGTCTACCTTGCCCACTACGGTAGGTGCCCACGCGGCTGAGAAGGTTAACGACCAAGCCCTACCTAATGATCACATCACCGTCGACCTAGTCGATACTGATGCTGCGAAACTGCACACCCGCGACAGACCTCCCCCGGAGGACTCCAAGGGGGATGCAGATGCGGACGCAGACATCAGGACTGACGCCGACGGCGACGCCGGGCCCGACGACATCAACCAGAATACAGCTCATTTCGGCCCAATGATGGGCATCGGACCCATGGGCGCCGCCGCGGTACCGGCCATGGCAATGGGTGCTGCTGCGGCGCCTGCTATGGCCGGCTTAGCGGCTATGGGTGCTGCAGCACCCGCTATGGCAGCAGCAGCAGCTATGGGTGCCGTACCCCCCGTGATCCCACCGGTGCCCCCTGTGGTCCCGCCGGTACCCCCTATGATGGCGGCGCCTGCCGCTGCTGCTGCTGCTGCGGCTATGGCTAGGATGGGAGCACTGGGTGCGATGCGCGTGCCCCCCGTGGCTATGCCTGTTCCGCCTGTTGCACCTGTTGTTGCGCCGGGGATGGTGGCCCCGGTGGGTGCGGTTCCGGCTGCCGTACCTGCGGGTGGTGTTCTGCCCGGCGGCGTGACGACGATGCCTGGAGCGGTGGTGCCGGCGGGCGGGGTCGGAGCGGTGCCAGGAGCTGTGCCGGCTGGAGGTGTTCCTGCCGCGGGTGCCGGGGCGAGCGGGGCTGGAACTGGGACTGGTGCCGGACAAGGTATTGGCACTGGGACCGGGACTGGAACTGGGAACGCCGGCACTGGCAATGCCGGTAACGGTGGGACCGGTAATGGTAACGGCGGCAATACCGGAACTGGAAACACCGGTACTGGAAATACCGGTACCGGAAATTCAGGGACTGGAAACGCGGGTACCGGTAACAACGGAAACGCTGGTGGTGGCAACACCGGGAACGGTGGTAACACCGGCAACAACAATGGATCTCGCATCAAGAGAGACAACCTCGATGCCAACGCCAGCGGCGACAACGGCGACAACGGCGCAGCGCAGGTAAGTGGTGCAGGCGTGGGTTTCGACAAGCGCGGACCAGCCGAAGCAAATCAACAACAAGACCAAACGCAAGGCAACGATGAAGCTGACCACGGCGATGGCCGCCTCGTCAGCGGTATTAATGGACCTGAGGGCGACAGCGACAGCAACGACAATGAACAATACGCGCAGACGGAACATGGCGCCAGGGTGTACCCTGGTGTGTATGGTATGCCGTACGGGTATGGGGTGCTGCCGTATCCGTACGGATATAGGGTGCCGTATGCGTATGGGTACGGGTATCCGAGGGTGTGGTAATTAGGGGAGGAATGGAGGTGGGCTAATGTTCAGTTTGCGTGTTTAATTTTTCGTGCTGCAAAAGCTGGTCGTGGTCAATCTTATGTCTAGGAAGGTGGATGGGATAATTAATTATGGTACGGTAATGTGGATGATGGGACTGGGGCTTGGAACGCGGGAAGCAGGGGCACATCTGGGCAAAAAGTGTAAATATTCACATCGTTTGCAGCTTAATCCTAATGACAAGTGTGTTCTCTCCCACTAACTCTACAAGTCGACCAAAGGCAGAGCATGTCGGGGGATCCGCGAGATTCCTTCACTGTTGGAGTTCACTTCTTTTCCGACCCTTTCTCGCGTCTTTGCCGCCAAGGCGAAAAAGTCTCAAAAAAAAAGAAACATATGTTAACTCCTAGGACTGAACAGCAACAACCATCGCGCAGCCACGTGCACTCGTGTCTGCATTTCTAAGCACCCCGCGCGCAAAGCTGTGCAAGCGGACGTGTGCTGACCCGATAAAAGAGGAGGACCGCGTTCTTGGGCGGAGCCGTCGAGGTCTTGGTATCGTGATTTCTCAGCGCCAAGGCCGCTCCAAGCATGCCCCTGAATTGACATATGCGTGGACTTTAGGTCGGAATAGGGGTATAGTAACATCGAGACAAGTGAACTGAGGGGTTTGGGGTGTTATTCGGAAGGGGTGTTGGCGAGGGAAGAGTTCGGTGTGACTCAGCACTGTGTGGTTTGGATTGGGTTGGGATTAGTGATGCGAGAAAGGGGAAGAGATTTCGGAGTGGAAAGATGCTCGGCGGGATGGGTGAGGCAGTTGATAGTTTGCGTCGTCGATGTCGACGGGAAGGTTGAGAGACAAGTATAAGAAGCCTTGTCCAAACCACCGTTGGATCTTGTTTCCCTCACCATCATCAACACATCAACTACCTACCCAGCACAACTCCCACAACAATCCCAACCTTTCATCCCAACCACCATGACCACCATCACGAGCATCGGCATCGGCAACATGGGTGCCGCCCTAGCCACCGCCCTCCTCAACGCCTCTCCCAATGCCCAAACCGCCGGTAATACCCTAACCATCTGGAACCGCACCCCCAACCGACCCCAAGTCACAGCCCTCATCACAGCCGGCGCCCACTTCGAGCCCTCCCTCCCCGCCGCCATCGCCCGCAGCAGCATCCTCCTCCTCTGTCTCTTCGACTACGACGCCATCACCGCGGCGTTTTCTGTCCTGCAGCACCCGGAGACCTCCGTTGGTGCTGCCGCTGTCGAGGCTAGTCTTCCCTTGGCAGGCAAAACAATCATCAACCTAACCAACGGCACGCCCAACGAGGCGCGCGCCATGGAAGCCTACATGAAGCGCCTCGGGGCAGCGGGTTATTTCGACGGCGGGATCATGGTTACGCCGCAGTTGGTGGGCACCCCAGCGTCGTTTGTGATTTTGTCCTCGGGATCGGGCAGCAGTGAGTCCGGCTCGCAGCAGCAGCAGCAGCAGCAGCAGCAGCAGCAGCCGGGGGAGGCTGTGGTGTTTGAGACGGAGATCGCGCCAGTGTTGAAGCCTATTGGTGCGATTCAGTATGTCTCGAGTACTGATGCTGGTGCCGCCTCGTTGTATGATGTGGCAGCGCTTGCGGCGATGTATGGGATGTTTATGGGGGCTTTTACGGGGATTGCGTTGTTGAAGAGGGGGTTGAGACGGTCTACCGTTCAGGGGGATGATGAGGACCGGAAAGGAGATGGAAATGAGAAGCTAGCGGCGGCCAAACCGGCTACTGACGCCGTCACGGTCCCGTTGCTGGCTGCGCTGGTGCCGTATGTGAGTTTGCTCGCGGCGGGCGCGGACAAGGAGGACTGGTTGGAGGATGATATGGGGAATCCGCTGGCGATGCAGGCGGCGGGGATGCGGAATATTTTGCGGTCGTGTGAGGAGGAGGGGGTGGATGGGTCGGGGATGAGGTTTATTTCGGAGTTGATGGATCGTGCGGTCGGGGAGGGGCTGGGGGCTGGGGCGGTTACGGCGATTTCGAAGTATTTGTTCAAGTGAAGGTGGACTCCGTGAACTAATACGTAGACTACCTTAGGTGTCCCAGGTCTATTTCTAGATCCAATTACTCCTCCGCTCACTTGAAAATATCATGTACTTTACCAATAGACTTCAGGATATTAAGAGAATAACTTGCTTAGGCCAAAGTACATCAACCAAGTGTAATTATATCTAAACCGCCTTCGGCATAGCCATCGGCCAGTCTCACTCCTTTGCGCCGGTGGGAATTTTGAACAGCACTGCTCTCCCACCAGGTCCCTGACCAGCAGCTTTGTCCACCCTAAAGTACCCCTTACGCTCCAACTGAATGATGCTATCAGCCTCCACAGTCGCTAAATTCGCGTCGCACAGCGCTTCAGTCATCGTGGCGGTGTTCGTCGCGAGGAAGTCATCCAACTTGTCCTCTTTCCCCAAGGTATCCTTCGTCAAGAGGTAATCAAATTCCCAAAGTTCAGCCTCAACGAGAAAACTACCCTCTTTCGCAAGCCAGGTGATCTTCTTGGATGTTTTTCTGAAGTCCCCTTCCAGATGGAGCTCAAGTTGCAAATCCGTCACAGAAGCACCGTCGCGGGTTACTCCTCGAACAATAGCGTTGCCCCAGTTCATCAGCGTAATTTCCTCGTCAATAGAGAAACTAGCGGCATCTGCCTTATCAACAAGGATGGTGTTCGCGAAGGTGACCAGTTTGGTCCCAACCGCCGCATTTTTCGGATGCTTGGGCTTTTCCTCCGAGTAGGGGGATTCCGGTCCCCCCGAGATGGTCGCAGTGACTAGTCCGCTCGCCTTAACTGCCGTATGTCGAGGGGCCACCGCGTCAATGGCCTTCTTGTTCGTCGCCCAAAGGATAGTCCAGTCCATGGTTACAGCGTTACGACTAGGGCCCTGCTTCAACATAAAGTCACGAAGGGCGGTCACAGTCAGGCCGCGCCGGAGAATCCCACGCACCGTCGGCATACGCGGATCATCCCAGCCCGTTACAATGCCGGTGTCCACGACCTTGGTCAACTTGCGTTTTGAAAGGAAGGTCCGGATGAAGTTGATGCGGGCGAAATCCCAGAGCTGGACGGGCCGAAGCTTCAGGGTGTCGAGGAACCACTGATACTGGGCATTCCGGTCTGCATATTCGGTGGTGCGAAGAGCGTGGGTGACGCCTTCGATGCTATCCACCACGGGGCAGGCGAAGTCGTAAGTGGGGTAGATGTTCCATGCCAGACCAGTGCGGTGATGGGGGACTGCCTCGGGGGGCTGCCCATCTTCCTTCGACTCGAACTTTGGGAATCGGTAGATGACGGGGTCCCTCATAGCTCCGTTAAGCGAGTCGAATTGGATACGGGCTCTGATACAGTGCGTTTTTCCATGATCGGTCCCTTGTTTCATTTCGTCGAAGATAGCCAGACTCTCTGCTGCCGGCCGGTCTCGACGTTTGCTGGGAAGACGATTGAGCCGGTCCTCCTTCTGAACATCGGGGTCTGTGTCGTCGGCGTAGGCGTTCCCCTCCGATATCATGCGCTAGCAGATCTCGTACAACTGCTGGAAATAATCGCTGGTGTATGTCACACGGTCTGGCCTAATGCCCAGAAGCTGCAAATCCTCGAGGATAGAATCCTGGAACTCTTGCTTCTCCTTGACCGGGTTTGTGTCGTCGAACCGGGCAATAAGCTTGCCATTGAAGGCTTCGTGGGCGAAATAGTCATTGAGAAACGCAGCTTTAGCATGGCCGATGTGCAGATATCCTCTGTACCACGTTAGTAAACCATCCAATTTCAAGGGTTATTATTCCTGGAATCTCACGAGGGTTCAGGAGGGAACCGCGTCACAACGCCGTTCTCCGTATTTTTGAGCCCAATGTTGTAATTGACCCCTGCTTTGCTTGCGGCAGCACGTTTTTTCTTCTCCTTGATTTGCGCCGCCTGGATCTCCCCCTGGATCTCCGGATGACTGGCCTCAACGAAGGAGAACCAACGTCCCACATTCGTCAGGCTTCCCTTGCGAAGAATACCATTCGCCACTTTGCCTGTCTTCACGGCGGTCCATATTTCCTTGTCGGTGGAACTTAGTTCATACCCTGTGATGTAGGTGCGTAGGGTTAGGTGCCGCTCGAGTTCGAACAAAACTGCTTCAACGGTCTTGAAGTCAGGAGTCGACAGATGTGGTGCCCAGTTTGAAACGCTGAGGCCAGCCATCGTGATCCGTGGTTTGGGATGCGATTCAATCCTTTTAGACAAATATCACTTCCCGAATAAATGACCGACCAGGATTGAGGGTTGGTGGGTTCAAATTCTTGAGCTCAGATAAAATCTGGCGTTGGGCGCTTGACGGTTTAAGTGCCCCGCTGCGCAACCAACATCCTCAGCTGTTGAGTCACACCCTTAAAAGGACCAACAAATGCAACTGGTCATTGAAATTTATGTTAATACTAAAACCAAACTGTCTGTTTTCACCATCTCTACATTTGCCGGGTAATCGTCGACATCCCTGAAATTAAACGGAATCAAAACGATTTTATCGTTCCTCATCTTGCAAACTTGAAGAAACGGAGGAAAGGGGTACCTCTTTCCTTTTCAGCTTTGGTGTTTTTGTTTTGATCGTGTCACCGATTTTTTATGCCCTTAAATTATCTTTTCTCTCCAGTCGAATTCCCCAAGAAGGCACCTGCAACGACATTCAAACCACCTTCCTAAAGTATTTCCTCTCTGCCCTGCGGCGTGCTGTGCCACTTTGTTAGCGCGGCGCTTAGTTAATTAGTGAGTTTCTCATGTGACCGCGGCGACAACCAACAAACCAACCAACATCAAACAATCGATGCCAAATCGGCAGACGCCTTCTCCGGATCTCAAACCTTTCTCCAACGTCAACCCAGTCACCAGCGCCTCAACGGAGGGAAATAGCCGAGACATCCACATCGCAACCTCAGAGCTCCGAACCGAGCTATCACCAGCTTCGGAATCCCACGATCACGAGACATCACTCACCAACGACCGAGAAACCACACCTCAAATCCACCTACATCTCAACCCAAAACCACCTCCCCCAACCTCAACCCCACCTAATACTACGTCTACGAAAACAAAAATGTGCATAATCTACATGCGCGAATACACCTGCGGCTGCGAAGAAGAAGAAGAGTTCGTGCAGTGCGAAAAACGACTAGGCACCAACGTGCGCTGCGACCCCGTGCGAGAGATCGCGCGGCCGGCCTCGATGCACATGTGTCGGCACCACATGGTGCGTGAGGGGAAGGATGAGATGCATAGTAAAGCTTAGCTTTCTTAGCCACATGTGGTACTTTGGCGATGGGATGGGATGGGATGGATGGGATGGATGGGATGGATGGGATGTGATGGGATGGGATCTGCGGTGCAAGGGACGGGTGTGCGCACGGGGAGGGGGGTCAGGATGAGATGGAAGTGGGTTGGGTTGATTCATTGGGATTTGGAGAGTGGGCGGAGTCCGAGGTTGAGACGGAGGGTACGTGGAAGGATGGGGGAAAGACATCATTAATGGAAGCGCATTTTGATCGATTGGTCAAGGCGGTTTCGAGATTCGTAATTCGTATGCCGCTATGGACCAACGCCTCGACAGATGTCTCGAACAGCTCGGACATCCGGTGTGGATTCTCCCCGCGGTTGTCTAGCGGGCCAGTACCCGATCGCGATAAACCGGGACACTGCATATTGTATAAGCGTAAGCTGCCTTAGCCCACCTCCTGTTCGGGAAATGTCTGAGAAGGTGTTACGTTCTTGCAAGCTTTGTGTCGTATTCGGTGTTGCTATTGCCCGGTGTCCGTGTCTACAACGAGGCATAAGATTAGAAGAAGCCTACAATCGTGCTATTTAGCTTGAGCTTTTCTTGTGAAACGCAATCGCTCAAATCGCTAATCGGCAAATTAACCGCTAGGCGAAACCCCGGGTACCTTAACAAAAGAACCAAAACTACGGCTGATCCTCGGGACGGTGTTGGAAGCACTTTCCTCGACCGATCACTTGCACCCTGGGCTTTCTAGGACCCGAACCACTGATCAAACCTTGAGAAACCTCAAAGAAGCAGCTTAACCATCACCATGGGCACCGTACCAGATCCCGAGCCCCTCAAGGTGTTGATTATTGGGGCGGGTGAGTTCTAAAGCAGCCCCCCGTATTTAGGAATCATCTGCTAACATCCCTTCCAGGCTCGGCCGGGCTGTTGATGGGCCAAGTCCTCAAAAAGGTACCGTATCTCGGCACCCCCCTACGTTCACTCAAACGGACTAACACACACCAGGCCGGTATACCCGCCACCATCTTCGAGCAAGATGCCAGCCCGACGGCCCGGCAGCGCGACTGGGACTTTGGCATCTACTGGGCCCAGTCGCGCATCGCCGAGTGTCTGACCCCGGAACTGAACGCGCTCATCGACACGGTGCAGACCGACCCGTCGTACCGCCACCACGCCGGGTCGACGATGCCGATCCACAATGGCGCGACGGGCGAGCTGCTGAAGGAGTTGCCCGCGCCGCATGCGATCCGGTTGCGTAGACGGGCGTGGTTGGATCTGATCCGGACTGGGTTGGATGTGAGGGTGTGTAATCCCCTCAAATCCTTACCTTTCCCCATCTTGTCCATGCTCCTCAAGCTAACAACACGCAGTACAGCAAGAAACTCGCCACCATCACCACCACGCCCACCTCGGTAACAGCCACCTTCACCGACAACACCACCGCAACGGGCACCCTCCTAATCGGCTGCGAAGGCGCCCACAGCCTCACCCGCACCTGGCTCTTCCACGACACCCCCCACCCTTCCGACGCCGACCTCCAACACCTCCCCGTCTCCACCTTCGCCACTCTCACCCGCTACCCCCGCGACACCGCCCTAGCCCTGCGCGCAGTCCACCCCACCTACTCCATCCTCCTCGACACGCGGGACCGCTTCGGCTGGTACTCCCTGCACAACAAGCCCTCCCCCAACCCGGAGGAGTGGGTGTTCCTGATTATTTTCACGTGGAATTACCGGGAAGCGGATGATCATGAGCGGTTGGAGCGGGATGGGGAGTATTTGTTGGCGGAGATGCGGAGAAATGTTGGGGATGGGTTGGCGTATCCGTATGATGCGATGTTGAGGGATATTCCGGAGGGGACCAAGGTGTGGTATAGTCGGCAGATGGCGTGTTGGCCGACGAAGAGGTGGGATGGGAGGGGGGGGAGGGTTACGTTGGCGGGGGATGCGGCGCATGCTGTTTCGTTCCGTACGTATATATAATTGCCTCTTTCCTTTATACCGTTTCCCCTCTGGATGGCATTTACTAATAATGGAAATGGACTTAGACCGCGGCCAAGGCCTAGGCAACGCCATAACGGACGTGGCAGAGTTCCAAGGTCATCTACGGGCGATGAAGGAGCAGACGCCGGAGGAACTCGCGCGGGCGGTGGCCAAGTATGAGGAGGAGGTGTGGAAGCGTGGGCATGAGGTGGTCATGGAGAACAAGACGAACACGCTGTTTCTGCATGATTGGGAGAAGGTTTTGCAGAGCCCGCTGTTTACCACGGGTGTTGGGAGGGCGGAATCGAAGGGCCAGGGTGCGCAGTGAGAGTGGTGATCTCGGGGGTTAGAATGGTTGGTGTGATTCACCAGAGCAGCTACTCTTACAGATTGTACGCCCCTTATATTCAAATACCACAAGGCAACCCTGGAGACGCCTGTATTCGCGTTCAAATATAATAGCTGCCTGACAAGTACTCAAATGCCGTTTCACGCTACAAGACTTGAGATTTCCACCCAGCTTCAGGCCAGATTGCAACTGTATACACACCCTCAGAACTAAAAGAAACTCCCCTTCCACGCCTCCGCCACAGCCGCAGCCACCAGGTTATTAATCTCCACGCCCGGGTGATAATCGTTAAACCACAAACACGACTCGCCATCCGCGTTGAAGCACGTGTTGTCCGGCGCGCCATACGCCGTCGGGTCATCAAGCGCCGTGTTAAAAGGCACCGCAGTATCGACAATCTTCGCCGTGACTCCGCTGTTGGCAGTGCTGAACTCCTCGAGCCGGGTAGCTAGGGCCGCGTTGTATGTGTCGATGGCGGCTGCTTCTTGTTGTTGGGCGGCTTCGTCGGAGTTGTTTAGGACCGAGGGGGTGCGTTGGATTGCTGGGTTTGTTAGCCCGACTTCCTCAGACAATAAAGGGGGTAAAATCAAGAAGGGGAACATACGCGGCACACTCAACAGCACAAAATTCCTCCCCCCCGCCTCATACAGCACCTGCAACCGTCCAAAATACGAATCCATAATCTCCTCCACCAACTCCCCATACCCCTCCGTCCACCACGAATTCCCCACATCATTCACCCCCATCCACACCCCAAACAACGCATCCTCCCCCGTCCACAGCTTATCACTCTCTCCCTCTCCCTCTCCCTCTCCCCCACCAATACTCCCACTAAACTCCGCCACCTGATCAACAAAACTCAGCACCGTCGGCTCATACGGCGTGACCAACGAAGCATTGGTCGTTGCGCCGCCGTAGGCGAAGTTGTAGGTCAAGAGCGTGGAGACGTTGTAGTGCGCCGCGAGGAAACCGACCCAGTTGTAGCCGCCGCTGGCGGTCCAGCCCGGGAGGGGGGGGTTGCCGAGGGGGTTGGAGGCGGAGGGGGCAGTGGAGGTGATGTTGAAGCCGGTTTGGGAGTAGGAGTCGCCGAAGGTTATGAGGTATTTGGTGGAGGGTGCTCGGGGGGTGCAGGCTGCGGTGGTGGTAGTGGCGGTTGTGGCTAGGAGAGCGAGGAGGGTGGTGGTGGTTAGGAGGGTCATGGTGGTGGTTGTGAAGGGTCAAGAGTATAAAATGGGGTTGGGTTCAACAATTTGACGACGCTGGGTCATGGAGGACTACGATGCGGGTGTCATGATGTATATACATGTACTCGCCCTTCCTCGTCTTCGTATAATTAACCTTCCTTGGCAAACTCGCCCTTCCACTCGCCCGTCGACTCCATCGCCGCCCACGCTCCGTCGACCAGGCCAGAATCTGGAATTCGACATGCAATTTCAGGAACCCAACACGAATGATTGGCGGATATTCTGGTGGGGTTCGCAGTCTCCCGACAAAGGCGCGGGAGAAGGATGCCCGCGCGGTAAGGCGGAGGGTCTCCGGATTGAGGTGCGCGGAAGAAGAAATGCGGGATGTCACCCTAAACAGCCGAGCCTTCGAGGGGAGAAATGGAGACAGCGAGACTGGGAGACGGGGTTATTGAGGCGAGCTGTGCGTGGAGCGACAGATGAAGGAATTAATTCGATTGGTATATGATCGCCACTCGCAGTCTGCATTTCTGAGATTCTTTTAGGGCGAGTAGGGCCTCTTTGGTTTGTGTTCAGGTTTCATCGATCATCCGCACTTTTGATAATTACTTTACCGAACGAAGCAAGTAGTAATGTGTGGGGAACGGCGTTTAACAGTCCACATTACTAATTTGTATCAAACATAATCGTAATTGTAAAACCCCAAAACTTCCAAGACGAAGGAAGTCTTCAATAGCCAAGCAGAGATTTGATCCGGATTTTGGACAGTTGGACAGTGGAAGCCGGAGAGGAGGTGAGTTTTAAGCTGGTAGGGTTCACTGAAAAAGTCCCGGCAAAATGGGCCCGATCCACCGATCGTCGATCATCGTGGGGGGTTGAAACCATGACGCGATCTCTTCTCAGGTTCCGGAGATCTGAAACAATCTAACAATCTAATAAATTATGTGAGGAGATATTGCTGAAGTAAATACTATGTAAGCGTTGTTTTCCAACCTCAGTCCCGAAGTAACTTGTAGCGATGCGAGGAACGACTTTCGAAACCAAGAGGTAGAGCGTAGCCTGGCGAACTGTGGGAGAAAACGGAAGAACGTGTAACTCACCTCACCTCTGCAAGGCAAATCGCTTCAAAGTCTCACCAATAACTCGCCTCATGGGCGACTCAACCCCAGTGGGAGACCCAACAAGAATACGGAGTATCAACTGGAGTAAGACATGGCCGTTAGGGTCAGGGTTATCACACCATGACAACCTCCAAAATAAACAACCCCAAACCACCAGCAAAGTCACAGTCCCAGCCCGAATCCAAAAGCCATGGTATCATCCCGAATTCCCCAAGCAACCACACCGTTTGGCCAATCATGACATGCATTACTAATCATACATCATCACTTACACCGTCTCCCTCCACACCGGCAACCACAAAAACAACAAGACACACACCGTCGCAAAGAGCGCACCGCCCGTCAAGCTCTGGAACACAATCTTCCTTTGCAACCTCCTCAACTCCCTCTCCTGCACCCTTATCCTCCGATCAAAAATCATCACCCTCTTAATCCACTGTATCAACCCATTCAACCACCCACCACCGTTCCCACCTGCCCCCCCTCCACCTAACCTCCGATTCCCACTAAACCAACCCGCCATCCCATTCTTTTCCCCCTTTCTGTCATCACTACTCCCCCTCCTCAAACTCGCCGCATCCTCCTCCCCATCATCAAACCGCTCCCACGGCAACCTCTGCCGCCGCGACAACAACAACAAGAAAAAACAACTCCCCCGCAGCCCGCTCAACACCAGACTCATCCCCAACCACCACAACGGCCACGCCGCAAAGGTCTCCCACCTCGAATGCCTCCCCCGCCCTCCACTCTCATCCCCGTCCACCGCCAACGCCCGACAAAGCACCACCACAAACCCAGCCAGCAAGCTAATCCACCCCAGCACCGACGCCGCACACACCGTTTCAAAGGTACCGTTGCCCACGCCGAGGCGGACAAAGTTGCGGTGGGAACAGCTGTGTAGGAGCGAATAAACGTGTTCGGCGACGGGGCGGAGGGCGGACGGGTGGCCGTTCGTGGTGGTGAGGTCGGCCAGGGCTTGGGTGCGCAGGGCGGCGGGGATGTTGAGTTCTTTTGGGGAGGAGGGGAGGAGGAAGAGGGAGATGATTGTTGAGAGTTCGGATTGGGGGGTCGGCGCTTGGGAGTTTGTACTGGTGGTGGTGAGGGGGGTGGTGAGGGGGGTTGTGGCAGGTTTGGCGCAGGGGGCTGAGAAGGGGGAGAGGAAGGAGGCTACGCGGCTTGGGGGGGAGATGGCGTCGGGGCTGCAGGTAGATTTGGAGGCGCATAGGGCGGTTGTTGAGATGAGGTTGGAAATGCGGGCGAGGGTTTCTTGGGCTGATGAGAGTGAGACGTTAGTGGTTGGTGAGATGTTATTATCAATCATAAGTAACAAGGGACGGTAATACACACCCGCTTCGCTGTCAGGGTTGTCGTCCGCGTCAAACTTCCCAGCGACCGAGATACCGCTATCACCGTCCCCCGGTGTGATACGAGCTACGGATGAAGTTGACTGGGCCGCGCTGCGAATTGATCCGTAATCCTTGCTATCAATGGCCGTGGCCTGGCCATAGGTTGATTCGTAGTTCTTGAACCTGATCGCCAAAATAAGCCAAAGTCCATGGCAACCATCGCGGGTCAAACCCCAGAAAGCACTAGCTTACCAGACGTAAAATTCCAAGTTCTCGGCCGAATACTCAATGTATTTGAGGTACATGTAAAAGTCGTACAACGACATGGGGCTGCCTGTCACACGCAAAATGCAAAACTGTGTCAGCCCGCCCTGATGCGAATGTCCCTCGCGCCATCGTGGAACGTTACGGATGTGCCGTTTCAGCTTGACATACACGTCTTGTTGGCTAAGATCCTGTCGAGTCGCAGCCGATGCGGGACTCCGCCGCCAGCACTGCCATTGGGGCTCACTGGTCGTCGGCCGGAGCTGATGTGTGTCGCATACTCCCTGAAGTCGCGGTATTCGGGCTTCTTATACCAAGTCAACCACGGCGGAAACTCGTACGGCATCGTGAGTGGGTGCCGTGTGTCCTGGGCGTGGTTGCCCTGGGCCGTTCGGGGAATCTCAACGGTCGTCGATGCCAGTCGTAACGTCGTGAGACTGGCGAATATGGGCACCAAGATCAGGATGGAATAAACGGGGTCGGTTTCAGGTGGCGTCAAGGGAGAGACAGTCAGAATCAAGACCGTCGAGAATCAAAGAAATGAAATTCCTGGGGAAGAGGACTAGAAGGCGGGAGCGAGACGGGGGGTGGCATATGTATGGACACTAATAGTCACGGACCCGACACGTCTGTCGATCTAGCCACCGCTAGCCCGGGGGGCCTCGTGGATATATCCGCCCGCTCGGGCATCGATATTCGTGCTCTTCCCGGCCGGGGTGGATTTGGTCTCCCGTACCCATGGTGGGTGGGTGTCAATGGGTGGATGCAGGCGGGCTCCGGCGACGAAGTTTTCTTGGTTGCCTTCCGGGTTGGTCTCTTTCTCGTGGCCCCTGTGCTTCTTCCCGAACTTCCATGGGGCTGGCTGCCTTGGGACGGCGTTGACGCGCAAACATGCAACCTCAGCCCAAGGGAAAGTCAAGCAAAATGGACCCATCGCCCGAACAAATGGCCCTGCGTTCCTTGCATGCAGGTTTTGGGTCCGACGGGGCGACCGGGGGCATTCACAGATCTGGCGGTGGGTGGCTGCAAGGGCCCCTTCCCTCAGCTCGTCCAATAATCGGGCCGGGTTAGTGGCTGTCCACACACCAGCTGAGTGCTCTTTTTCCCGTTCCTTTGGCTCCTTTCGCTTATCAACTTCAGGTCCTTAAAAACTTGGTTCTTCTCTCGCTTGAGATCGAGTTAATCTTCCTAGTTCCGCGTCGGACCATTTTCTTGAAACCGTTCCAGATCTCGATCGCGTTCTGTCAGTCTCTCTGCGGCGCGTCCCCACCCAGCAACTCGAAAGATCATCTCCCTTTGATCCCAGTGTTGCCCGCGCCGCACAATGGAGGAATGGCCGTGGCCGATATCGTCGCGCCCGCATTTCTCCCGAGAAAAATTGTCACTAGTGAGCTATTAGGAGGCATACCGCTGCAGTTCGTCACTGCATTGGCGCAGGCTGTGGTAACTTCTATCAGAGAAGAAGCAACAGCTGCAGAAGAGGGGTAATGTTGGGATGGTCTGCGAGACGCAAGTGAGAGACGCGGAGAGCAAGAAACCGCGCAAGGTCCTTCCTCGACGGAAGCATTGCCGTCCTCGAGTCTCGCCGCAATAGAGGATCGTGCGCCCGTTAGCTAGAGTAGTCAAGCCTTGAAGACATCCTGAAATTTGGTTCGGTGCTGTGCCCTGCGTCTGAATTCTGGTCCGAGCGGCTGAACGGCGGCACACGTGGTCGGCATGGTTCCAAAGTTCGCGTGGTCAAAGCCCAGGGCCCGCCATGCTCTTGTTTTCTCTTGTCGCCGGGGCCCAGGGGCCGACGCCTTTTTCGAGAATCGTGTGCGGAATAGCGCAGTACAGAAACGGTAAAGGACTTAAAATGAGAGCGGTAAAAGGATTAAAAATTAAAGAGTTAAAGCCGTGGTCTCATCGTTTGCCAACATCGGCAACAAACCATCCAAGAGCTGCTCCTTCCCTGGACCTTCCATATCTGCTTCTGCCCAGAACCCTCCCGCACAGACCCCTGAAGGAACCAGATCGAGCCCCAATCGGGTTTAGTTCAGGGCGTGCCGTGGCCCAAGCGGACGGATTCCCACGCTGTCATTGGAAGGATCGACGGCTGGGGTCAGGGTATGTCCTCCACCATATCCACCCACCGCATTCACCAAAACGGTTGTTTTCCCGCTTCCGCTTCCATCTTGATGTTTGTGTTTGTCACCGGTGAAGGTGAATGAACTAGGAATGGATGAACCTCGCACCCTAGAAAGTTTGGTTCTCAGGCAAGCAAAACGCTCTGCTAACTGAAACATTCCTGGAGCCAATTTCTGCCGAACATTAAGACCTTTGTTGTGTTTACACTAATTTAGATAAGAAATCGTGCGCCGACACGTAGTTATCCGTCTTATTTTGCATATGGTGAAGTTGCCGTTGATTGCACTTCTCCTCAATTGTGAGGCGAACGGACTGTTTGTTTGGCTAAGAAAAACAGCCCGCGAACTCAATCCCCAGCAGTAATTATAATTATAATAGGCGGCTAAATGGCCCTAGACCAGGACCGTTTTTGAGAGGCATTAAAAAGCCGATGATCCCACACCCTGCAAGAGCACCGATTCAGAAAACGAGTTTCCAGAAAATAACCTTGTACGTCAATCGCAGACACTAACCTGCCAAAGCCATGACGATCCAAGTCCAAGCGCCGTATTCGCATTTCGCGGGTTCCGGGGCTCTCTTACCCTGTTCAACTTCACTTTGAACAACAGCCAAAGTACACTATTATGGTTCAGTAGTAACAGCAATGGCGGTTCTTCTATTGAGAACGAAGGAGTTTCTTTGTTCAGGCAACCGCGCCCTTTGTCTGGGAGACAATTACCCTCGGGTTAATGCTGCTTTGTTCCACGTGCAACAGGAGAAGGAGCGTTGTCAGAGAGGAAAAGGAGGCAGAAGTAATTAATAGCAATGAAGAGCATTGTTCACAACTCACTACCTGAACAACGGCATTGATATAACTATCACCTACGAGAATCAGTGGACAACTTACAAGTTCATCACGGATATCACAGTTCTATATAAACAACCAGCCAGGATAGAACCTCACACTCATGGATGACTTAAATCAACCCAACAACCGCTAACAATCAACAACCAAGCCACACAAAAACAACAGCATAAACTCCTCCACAATGTCTTCCCCTAACGACACCTGCAAGATCAAAAATGAGTCCAACCCGAACGGCAGAACCTTCACCGTCACCCGTGCCGCCCTCGAGCACTCAGCCGTTCTTCGGTCCTTGTTAGAAGACGCGAGCCTACTGCACCAGCCCGCCAGCGGAGAAGAAAGCGTGACCATTCCCATCATTCTCCCAACTGTTAGCGACGAGACGCTAGACCACATCTTCACCTGGGCCTCCCACTGGCAAGACGAGTTCAAACTCGACGCCGACGCCGCCAACAAAGAGATCAACTTTACCCACCCGGCCACCATAAATGACTGGGATAGGGGCTTCTTTGAGAAGCTCAACGGGTCGACGCGGCGGATCAATGGCCAGGCCATGTATGAGCTGCTGGTGGCGACGAATTACCTGGATATTCGCCCTCTGTACCGGATGGCGGTGGGGTTTGTGGCGGACGCGATGGAGGGGCTGTCGCCGGAGGAACTTGATCGGATGATTGATCATGCGCAAGAGGAACTTGATAAGCTCATGGACGTGGACTCTTAAGTACCGCCGTGTTGGGCCGTTGGTTGGGATCATTACTCGATGTCTTTGTATCACCGGCAGGAGTGTTTCCGATAGTAAGTACCATGAACCCAGTTATGATTTCATATGCCTAAGTATGGTTTTGACGTTTAATTAGCCAGTATGATAACGGCCAACACCACCCGGTTTTCGGATGCCATCTTTCCTCGTAAGCAACCGGGAGGGGGGGGCTTAACAGACGCAAAGTCTCGTGAAAGAAGAAAAACCACATCATCAATCACCAGTAACAACTTAGACAAACAACAACCCGGGACTCAGGGGTGGAACCACTAGTCATCACTAGCCGTGGCACAGAGGTCGGCTTGTCTTGTAGCGTCTGTATGTTGTAGCATCTGTAGGTAACAACCGAATGCCATCACGGAATTAATAAAGCAATGGTCCGGGGGGTGTTTTTCGGATTTTACCAGTGACGTACACCGTGTGATAGGAGTTGATCAGTCCACAAGCATTGAAGACCGCACAAGTGACATGAAATGTAAATATTGTAGCACCGATAACGGTGAAGGGCTATGTATTCCCATGATTCCAGTTTAATAAAATTGTCTCTTGCCCGTGGGTGACCCAGTCCTATGAATATGGTTGTTCGGCCATAAGATGCTCTTCAGACGGACCCGCCTTCGAGCATCTTGTCAATGCTCTAACTAATTATATACCGTCTCACCCACGTATAATTTGTTGTAACAGGTCATCAAAGGCCCAGTCAGCCAAAATGCAGCGAGGTAGGATTTAATAGACACACTAAGGAGATGACGATATGGACATTCTGCGGCGAGCCGTAGGTAATTACACACTGGGATTATCACCCACAAGCCGCTCATACAGCACCGCTGGCCCGGAACCGAATCCTGTTCTCCTGCAGTGCGGTTCCTACAGTACCCATGACAAATCTGCCAGGTTTCCCGGAAATCTCGGGAGGATGGAGATCTGAGATGCGGCACGGCCGATCTGGATTACACAGAGTAGCGACACGCGTGTGTCAAACGGGCCCTTGCCAGTTTGGCAGCTAACCAAGTATTACCCTAGCTCTAATGACTATATGTATATGAGTCGGTGAGCTTCGACATGATTCTTGGTATAAGGACAACCTTCGGGATCTCTGCTCCTTTCCCCGAGGAATGGGGGAATGTAACAATATACGATGTGTGCAGATGGCTTGCAGCAGTTTGACGCTGACACCCTCTTTCCACGTGTTTGCTTATTCCGGCGTGGCGCAGCCATGATACCCCTCAGTTTTCGTGTGTGCGACCTCACCACCACAACCACTACGACCGAAACGATCTATTTCCATCGACACGAAACACCCACCAAAGTCCTGGGAAGCGCGCCGGACGTTGTGCTCCATGTTATCGTCTTCGCAGGGATGTTTCACCTTCCCCGAGCCTGTCTGTTCTCACATATCCCTCGGTCTTGCCGGCATGGCTCTGTCGGTCTGGGTTCCGCCCATCAACCGGGCCGCACACCGGCAGTGTACAACCGAGACACCTGAAACCACCGTCCCGGCCCCTCAGTCGGGGCGGGGGGGACACGCACGCTGGGTGGGTGCGCAATCGGCCAGGCTGGGCTGGTGAACTGTTGGACAGTTGGAGTCGACTGCCAGAATGGGAAAAAGGGCAGAAGGCCCAAGGGAAAAAAGAAGTGGGGACGGCTAACAACCCGCCAGCAGCGGCTGCGAAAGCGCAGACGCAGGGCACAGCAAAGTCTGGAACGGGTGAACGGGCATCGAGAGGGGTCGCGCGAAGTCCTAAAAAGTCCTAATCGGGGAAAAAGAACTCACGATACTAGTTTGTGGGTGGGAACACAAACGAAAGGGGCAACTCACTCGTGAGGGTTAACTACTTGTGATGAAGCATTTGTGTGGGCACAACCCAGAAATACGCGCCGGCGCTTCCGGATCTCGCCAGTGGCGAGTGGACGGATTAGCCGCGGGATGGGTCCCAAATCGGTGATACCGCACGCAGTGAAGAAACAACGAGACAAGTGGAATGAGAGAGTGAGACAAACCAACATCATGGGATGCCCCGAAAACGTGCGCTGCCCTGCGTGTGTGGGCGGCGGAAATGGCGGGGCGGGTAAATCGACACGCACAGGTCGTAAAGCCCTGCCTCTTTCGTTGGCTACCCGAAAATGCAAAAAGCAGCAGAGAATGGAGATGAGAGGTGGAAAGATGCGAAAGAGCGTTTACAAACCTTACAGAGTCCCAAAAGAGTTTGGGCTGCCAGTCTGCAAACCTGTCTGCGAGCAATGATGTGCTTGCCCTTCGCGCCTTCTCCCACAGCAGGCTCCGATCTGCAGTGATGCCCCAACCCCAAGCAGTCACTGGACTTTGATGGAGGGGCATGTGGGCAGCAATGTCTAGGATCCCACCTTCCGCCCAAGCCACGCAGCACTGTGTGGAGAGCCAGTCAGGCAAGAGCAAGCCCACCGCAGTGGTTCCCCAGTCAGCAGTTTGACTGCGGGTGGCCAACGTTGACCACTCAGTCAGAGCCACACATTTCTCACTTCTAAACGGCAGCCTAACAGCTGAAGATGCGCCTCAATCCCGCCCCGACCAAAGCCCCCCGCATCATAGAGCCGCATCAAGCGTAGAGCCGACACCAAAATGGCGGTTGACATTCGAGAGACAGGCGCAGTGGACCTCTTGCTGACAATTTGTTCCCATTCCCCTCGCGTGTTGGAGCGAGAAACCGTTTAGTTCTGCCTCGCGGCCCTTTTTCGCAGCCTGCTTGGTCGTATGCACGCAGCTAATCAAGTCCAAACACGCTTTGGGGAAACTGATGAATGTTGCAGTCGAGTGGCTTGCCGCCGGGCTGTTGGGGCTGTTGGCTGCACGGTGCAAAAGTTAGTCTGCACGCTTGGAGCTGTTGGTTCAATTCATCAGCCCCATGTCCGTTCCGCGTTGGGTGTGGGTTTGGGGGCCGGACACCATGATTTGGCGGACAAGGACGCGGAGATCCTGTCCGGGAGTTGAGGGAGAGAGAGAGTAAAAAGGGCGCGCGTTATTGGTGCCGTGATGGGAGTAGTGGGGAGATCTTTTTGGTCGGTCTCAGTTCGTTCTTTAAGTCGCGCCGTGCCGCCGTGCGGGAGAGTTTCTGAACTTTTGACGATCGAGATGGTCTGATGCCGCCTTTTTTTTTTTACTGCGCCGTTGGAGGCTTTGCATCGCCCCCAAGTAGCTCCATCTAGACACCGCGCCATACCAGCTCCGTCAACCGTTACGCACCTAACGTAGAATTCTTATTTCTTCGGTTCCCCCCCGAGTTTGGGAGGTGAATTCTATTTGGCCTGGATGGTTCAGCGACCGAAAGTAAAACACCCCCACGCAGGTCGCAACAACACCGAAGGCCACTGAGGACTCGAGGAGTCAACGACGGCCGAGGCTTGTCGTCGAGAAAGAGAACAAGCCATGGTGAGGAATACACAACCGGGGGTGCGCCTCGCCGGCCTCATCGCTAGCGTCACACTCCTTGTCGGGGCCGCAGCGCAGTCAGTATGTTACGACACATGGGGCCAGCAAGATCCAGATCAGCAGCCGTGCGCAGCACCAGGAGCGAACACCGGGGCGGCGACATGGTGTTGCAACAAGGGCGACACATGCCTTTCCAACGGGCTCTGCATGAGCCCTGGGTCGAACAACCTCATGACCCAACAGGGGTGTACCGACAGGAACTGGGGCGGGTCGTGCAATAGGATCTGCCCTGCGCCCAAGGGTAAGTCGACACATGCCGTGTTCTTCCTGATGGGGATGAGGACGAAGACGGCCAGGCTAACATACCTCCAGACCGCGAGCTCACTGCGATACCCCTAATCCCCTGCCCAGAGAGCTTCGACAGCACCACCAACACCGTCAAATTCTGCTGTGGCCCCGATCCGTCCAAGTGCTGCAGCACCCCATCCTCCTGGATCCCGCTCTCTTCCGGCACCATACTCGCCTCACAGGGCTCATCCGACTCCAGCAACTCCAACGAGTCCTCCAACAGCTACTCCCTCAAAATCGGCCTAGGCATCGGCCTCGGCATCGGTGTGCCGATCCTCCTAGTCCTCCTCGCCGTCGCCTACCTCCTCTCTCAACCCTTACACGCCCGCCGGGCACGCCGCAAACGCCAAGAGCAGCAACAACAACGCAAGCGCCGATACGGCGGTACCAACACGGAAAAGACCTCCGACACCTCCCAGACCTTCCCCCCACCGGCCTTCTTCCAGCAACACCACCAACGCACATCGCCAAGCAGCGGCCACAAATCTTTCGGCCAGGTTGACACGCGTATCCGCACCTCCACCGACGCCAGCAACCTCGACGATTCCCCGACCAACCACCGCAATATCTCCCCCGACGACGATCCCACATCCCCTTCTCGCTGGCCGCACCACCATTGGCCCCCACCGCTCATCACCAACCCGAACGCTGTCATTAACCACACCCATAATAACAGCCACGGGAGCAACGACGGCAGTCCCAGAGCTGCCGGCGGCGCAGGCGGAGGAGGAGGCGGAGCAGGAAACGGAGGTGCAGCCAGCGTAGCCACGGCCCTTGCGCAATGGGCCCGCTCACCCTTCGGCATGGGCGGTATGCAGCCGCCACCACCGAGTCCTAAGGAGATGGATGCCGCACAGGCAGCGTTTGTGGCACAGGCGGGGCCGGCCGCCGAACTGCCGTCTCCTGATCTCGAGGGGGGTGAGCATCGACGCGGTGGGAGAGGAGGGAGGACGGTGAATTGGGGGGATGATGTGGAGAGTGGGAGGGGTCGAGTAGCGGGAGGGAGACAGACACAAGGACAGACACAGGGACAACAAGCACAGAGACAGACGCAAACGCAATCGGGGAGAGGGGCTTGGTTTAATGCTGCGAGGAGAGTACATGTGGCTGGGCAAGAGGTTGAGTTGCCTACGCCGGATACGCCGGGGAGGAGGGAGAGGGAGAGTCGGGGGAGTAAGAAATAAATAAGCCGGACGGACTGTTTTGTTTGAAAGGGGTCGGCAGGGCGTTTGGGGTAGGGCGTTTGAGTAGGGGCGTTTGAGTAGGGGCGTTTGAGTAGGGGCGTTTGAGTAGGGGCGTTTATGATGATATCCCGTGAGATGCGAGGAATATCGAGCATCGACGAAAAAATATAAATACACGATGACATACATTTTACAATTCTTTTATTCTGGGAGTGAGTGTGTTGAGAGATGCCACCAAAGACCACAAAGACTGCTCGGGTCCCAACAGTGAAGTCGAGAAGGGGTGAAGGCGGCACTCTGGTGTAGGTTGTGGAAGGAATTGTCAAGAATTGTATTGAACATAACGAGACATAAACTGCCGACTGGATAGCGGATGGAAGAATGAGCCGTACTTGCTCAAATCCTTCTCAGGGGCATGTGGTAAACCAGACAGGGAATGACGGGGCAAAGAAACGACACGAAAGCTAAACCACCAACGAAAACTCGACTTTCGTTACAGGTGTTCCTACAGGGGTCAGACAGACAGACAGAAAACCAAGCAAAGAAGCAGAAAAGCAAAACAACCAACCAAAGCACTACTTTCGTTACAGTTGTTCTACAGAGCCCAGACATCCAGAGCATCATAGTCAAACAATACAAGACGACATATACAAACCAACATGCAACGCAAAACACAGCAGAACACAGCGGGGAGAAAAAACACCAGCAACAAACAAACAGCAAAGACACAAAACTCAAAATGACGAATAAACCGCAATCTCATGTTCCAACAAACAAATATCCCAGCCTCGCCGTCCCAGTCCTCTGGGCTGGAGTATGTATCTTATCTCTGAACAAAAAACGCTACAAAACCGGGGGTATCTCTCCTGTTTCCTCCAGTCCTCTGTTTCCTTCTCAAATGTTGCTGCTTCCTCCAAGGCGCTTGTATCTTTCGACCTGAGCCCAACCTGATGAAAGCGAAACCGACAACTCCGAGAGAGAAAAGCAAGCCGCCATGCCGTCCGTTCTAAATAAACCCAACACGACAGAATGGTGTCCGCAAATCTGTTCTCCCTGGTGAGAAAGACGGGCGGTCCAAACTGTCAGAAAACGCCCAAACCAAGCGCCAAAGTCGTTCATGTCATCGTGGCCTTCGCAAAGAAGGCGTCCCGAACCAAACCAAACCAAACCCGCTTCCCAAACTGGCCTCCCAAACTAGCCTCCCAAAGGTATTGGTTCCCTCCAGCTTCCGAAATGTGGTGATTCCCTCCTCTTTTTCATCCACCTCCCTATCCATCCATCTTTAGGCGCCAAGAAAGTGACCCTCCCAAGCGGCATATATATACCCTACAATGCTCCAAACAGTACTCAGTATCCACTGCTGATCCAGCTGTCCGTCCATATACGTTTCCTAACGTCCCATTGAACGCAGTCAATGTAGGGAAAAAACCAAAACTCCAAGCATCCCACCATTGATCCATCCATCCATCAATCCTATTGCCACATAACCCAACACTTAAAACCGCCACCATATAAACCACCAAGCCAAACGGAACAAAAACAAAACCAAAGCCAACCAACCGAGCAAAACCAAGCAGAAATACCAGCGCAAAGCAAAATATACCCTTACACTCCAGACCAACCCACAGTCTCGACGCAGAAAAACCTACAGTTAGTAAAATTCCCCGTCCCTCATCAGCCCAAAGCTCAAACAGCAGACGAAGCTTAAACACCAGACTTAGCAGCCGAACCAGCCGCCCGACCCCGCCTCTTCGGCGCCGGCGTGCCGTTCGCGCTCATCCCGAGCTTGGTCACCCGCGTGCGACGGGTCGCCATACCAGCTGCAGAAGAAGAACCACTGCCACGAGCACTAGCACCACGAGCACCAGCACCAGAACCAGAACCAGAAGCCTTGGGGGTGGTAGTAGCAGTCTTGGAGGGGGCAGCGGAAGAAGAAGAGGTCGAGGATCGAGACGAGGTCGATGACGAAGAGGAAATCTTGGTCTCCTCGGCTTCAGCCAAGGCCGCGGTCGCAGCGGCCACGGCACGCTTGGAAAGAGGGCGGGCGCGAGCACGCAGACCGGTTGCTGAGGACGTGGTGCTGGTCGAAGAGGCGGTGGGCTTCTTGACGCCCGCGGAAGAAGTGGTAGAGGTGGACTTCTTAGCCGTCGTGGTCTTCTTCGTCGCGGTGGTGCTGCGCTTTGCGGCGGGGACCGCGGACTCACTCGTATCGGTGCTGCGGAGACTCTTCACCGGCGTCGGGGGCTGCAGTCGAGACGCGCGCTTCGACCGGGTGCGGCTCGATGGGACATTAGCCAAGGGAGCAGCAGCGGTGGTCGTCTCAGCGGTCGCGGTAGCAGTCGCAGTGGTGGTCTCGTTAGCGGCAGCGGACGGGGCGCTCTTCCGGGCCGCGACGCGTGCCGTCTTCTCTACGACAGGTGTAGCAGGGCGGGGCGGTTCGGCCTCGGCGATCTCATCAAAGTCGTCGTCCCCCTCGCTCATCACATCCGCAAGCAGGCTCCTAGCCATGCCGTGGAAGATGCTGGGATCCTCCGTCTGGAACCTAACCAGCTCCTCGGCCCAGCGAACACCCTTGCGTTGTTTCGCAGCAGTCCTGGGCTCGGCACTACTGTCGTTCTCCTCCTTGTTCTCCTGCGCGTCGTTTCCAGCCTCGGCAGAAGCAGTGGAGGCCTTGCCCCGCTTGTCCTTGGCGTCAAACACGCCCTTGAGCTCCCGCATGCGCCACGCCGCCGGGTCCTCGGCCTGCTTAGCCAGCACAGCCTGGGGCGGCACGGCGGTGCCCTTGTTCTTGCGCGTGTTGACACGCGTGATGGAGACCAAATCCTTCTCTTCGCGCTGGCGCATCATGTTGGCGGTGTGGGCATCCATAGCGGCCTCGTCAATCGCGCCCATGCCCGGCAGCCTAACGGGGATCATGGATAGGGCGATCGAGTTGGCCGATGGAGCCGCGGGTCGCAGGGCCCTGCGGGCGCGGGTAGACCGCCGCGGGCCACGTCCGGGGGAGCGAGATCCACGGTCGGGCGAGGGGTTCTCAGTGATGGTCTCGGGTGAGTTTTCGAGAACCGGGTCGGCTCGCTTGCGGCGCTTGAGCCGGGGTTCATCGCTGGACTCGTCGGGGGACACCTGGGAGGCCTCGTCCTTGGCGGGGCTGTCCTCAGCCTTTCGCTTCTTGGATAGGCTCGGGCTGTTGGGGCTCTTCACACCCAGCGGAGTCCTACTGGTAGGCGACCCCAACTTGGCCATAGGCGAGCCGGTGGCAGACGTGGTCGATCCCAAGGAGCTGGAGCGGCGCGCGATCTTCTTAACAAGCGCAGCGGCGGCAGCAGCAGCCTTGGCGTTCTTATCCGCCGTGACGCGCGTAACAAAGTCGCGGAGCATATCCGCCTCGGGATCGGGTTGACGGCCGAGCAGCTGGAGCGTGTCGTTCTCCGGTCGCGGAGGCTGGACGGTGGCGGTTTCGTCGATGGCGTCCATGGCATCGGTGCCATCGAGAGCAACAGTCGCCTCTTCACCCTCCACGACTTCGACCTCCTCCTGCTCAATCACCTCGTCGGCATCGAGGTCATCCATGTCGCGATCCACCTGCGGCTCGTGGTGTTCCCGAAGTTTCCGCTCAAAATCTGATGTGAAAGCCCGACCATTAATCGGGGTGAACCCGGAGCTCTCCGGCCGCGCGGTGGCTTCTACAGGTCGGGGGTCGGCCTGTTGCAGCATATCCCGCAATGCCGCAGTGAATGGGGAATCGAAATCGGGGTTCGCAACCGAAGCCGCTAGGGAAAATCGTTCAAGGCGGAAGAGCGACTTCCCATCTTGGAGATTACCCGAAACGGGCGTACACGACACATCCTTGGTCGGATCCGATGAAGTCGCATCGCCGTTCGGAAGCGGTAGCTGCGGCGAGGCAGTCAATTTCTCGGCGTGATTAGTTGCGGCGTCCGAGGCCAGCATCAACTCGTTCTGGAGCTGCTGATCGGGCGAGATATCAACCGCAGTAGAGGCCGAACCGAGCATACCCGCATCTGGGGTGGCGGGAACTTGGTTGTCGATGGTGGTACTCTCGGTGTCGGGGGTGGGCGACGTAGCGGCAGGAGAACCAGCATCAGGGTTCAACGCAAGACCGGCACTGGGTGTGACGCCCTTCAAAGGGCTGCTCTCGAGGATCGTGGACTCTTCGTAAATGGTCGAGAGACCCTCCGGCTCTTCCGGCACAAACATGACTTCTGACTCTGGTCCTGATCCGAAAAGCTTGAAAGGGTCTTCGGCCATGTGAGAAGTCGTGACGCTCGTGTCGTGCGTGATACTGGTTTGGTTAACCGAAGGGGGGGTTGCTGCCTGATCGGGGGTTGTATTTTCCGTTCCGGCCCGGCCCTCTGTTTTCTCCGGTGTGGTATCAAAAGTAGAAACGGAATCGGCCGACGGGTTCACTGCGTCCGTTGTGGCCTCAGAAACATGGACAGCAGGGGAAGAAACTGTTGAAGCGGGGGTCGGGGTCGATGGGCGTTCCATCTCGGAGGCCGCAGAAGGCTCGGTCTCCTCCAGTTCGTTGCTACCAGCTGACTTGGGCAGCTCTGGGCTCTTAACCGGCTGCCCAAAGATATCAGGGCTGGTCTTCATATCAATATCCAGCACTTCTTTGGCCGTGGTAGTGGCGCACTCATCGCTGCTTGCAGATGCAGCGACTCCATCTTCGTCCACGCAAAATGGATCCAGCGTCTTTCGGCGGTCCTTCTTGGAGGAGGAAGAAACCTCATGGGCTTCAGCAGACAACTCCTCGAGCGACGGTAAACTGTGCCGGCGGTTGGCACCCTCGGCGGCGCTCTTCTTGAGAGCAAAGATGCGCAAGAGGCCGGGGGAATCCCGCGACCGTCTGCGGGCGGATTGAAGAGAAATCCGGCGGCGAGCCTCATGCTCCGGGGTGATTTGGACATCTGCCACGGGTTGATCAAAGGTGAGAGGTAGAGGACTACCTGGTGACTCGGGAGGCGGCGTGCCAAACAAAGAATACATCGAATCCTCGGTACCAGGGGTCGACGGGGTGGACGACTTGAGGGGGGATTGCGAGGGCGGGCTAATCTTAGGTGTCTCGAGGATCACCTTGGTGGGTGTGGCGTTTATTTTGAAGTCGCGGTGCGGTGAGTCCGCTACCTTGGTCGGAGAGAGTGAAGCCGGCGCCCTCTTTACTGGTGAATATGATGCCGAGGTATTCTCGGCGGGCGTCAGTCTGACCATGGGCAGCTTGCGTGGGGAATCTTGTCCCGGGATAATAGAGCATCGTTTGCTGGGGCTGCGCGTCGACCTCTTCATCATCTGTTGTTCATCCATCTCTACCCTCGTCTCCACGTGCTCAGGCGAGGCCGGAATCTCGTACTCGATCAGCGGCTGCAATTCGCCAACCATCGTGGTCGCAGTCGTTATCTTCTTGGGCTCAATAGTCCAGCGCGTGTTGTGTCGTTTTCTCGGCACATACTTCAACGCATTGGCCGGGTACGTCAAAGGCTCATTTCCGTCGCCGTATGGTGTCGCGACGCTCTCGTTCTCGTTGGCCAAGACCGCGGCTGTTAAGCACCCTCTCGTTAGCTCCCGGAATGCAGCATTTGCCAAAGGAACAAAACAAAGAAACCACATACCTCGGGCCGCAGCCAAAATGTCCTCCGGGGTATATTCCACGCCTTTACTTCCATGCCACTTCATGTCGCCCCATGCGGGCACCCAGCGCAAATGGCGTGCTCGCTTCCTCGGCCCCTCTCCCTGCGACTCCAGCTCCGCCATCGATCGCTGGTAAGCCTTCTGGGTCGGGTCGACGGGCAGACCGCCCACTCGCTTCCAGATCTTAGATTGCCTGCGGGTATCAGGCACTGGCGCGACCGGGACGCGGTCCCAAGCTCGGTAGCCGGCCGGGCGGTAATGAAGAAGCGCATCGACGAAAAACTCTCTGTGTGAATGCTAATTAGTTCTCTCCCGTGTTCTAGCCATGGAATCTGTGTTGTAGCGGTAACCTACTCATTTGTAAATGTCGTGGCGGCGTCGGCGCGCATCGCCATGTTGTCGGGGTTCGGATACTCGACCCCCATTGTGCACGTGTGGGAGCAAGTCGTCGGCAATTGTTAAGGGGGTTGAAAATTGGTTATTCGTCGCAATTTAAGTTTAAAGGAAAAATATCGTCGAGCCGGTTAGAATAACGCGCTGAGTCGGTCGATAGGTGAGTGGTGTTGTTGTTGTGTTGCGAAAATACTCGTGCAGAAAAGAATTGGGAGACGCGTTCCGCCAAAAAGAATTCGCGAAAGTCGGTCGTGTCCCATCGCAAGAGGGTCCTTCCCCACGACCGCCGAGCAAGGGGTGGTGGACTTCATTTGTTTACATCTCCATCTCCAGCCAATCACAGCCCACGACTTTCGGGGTGATCCCTCGATTTCCCGCCCCACCATCGAGAAGCCCGTCAACGGCTCGGCGCGACCACGTGACCGAGATTTTCTCAACCCCCACCCTCTTAAGAAAGGCGCAACGCAACTTTCCGACGACGGCCCGAGGTCGTCGAGACGAGACAGCACAGCAACCAGGCGATGCCATTGCTACTGTAGCGGACCGCCCGCAAGAGATACAAAAATGACGAACAGGAACCCAATTCGTCTGCCGCCTCTGCGCGTGCTGCGCGTGCGCAACCCAAACTTCCGCGAGTCCAACCCCTGCGTCACTGTCATGTCCTCTGTCCTGGGTACGTTCACCACCATTGAAAATCCCGTTGTTGAAAACTCTCCGGTACGTTGTCACCTAACGCGCTCTTCTTTCACAGCATGCTGGGCCTCTGCCGGTCACCACGGGCGCGGCTGCACAACCGTCGAACAAGCCCTGCGCGCGTGCATGGATGCCCCGCCACCACCACCCAAGAAGAACAGCACGATCAACTACCATCTTAACCGTTTCTCGAAGCGGCTGATTGCCCAGGCGAGGAAGAAGTGAAGAGCGGGACGGAAGTGTGGGAGGGAGGAAACAGTTAAGCAGTCTATGGTGGGGTGTTACTGGGGAAGGATTGGCGACAAAGGCTTTTTTGTCAGGACGGGAAACCGGTGGCAAACTCCGGCGTCTAGTTAAACGTCCAAGGGGGGGTCGATCACAAGGGATTGTTGATATGCGGTCAAGCATTGACTCTGCCAGGCGGAAACGCCACGGCGCGCGCGTCATGGGGTAAAAATATGGTCAACGGGTACTAGGATGCTGTGATATCTGTCAACAAAATGTGTTGGGCCGGCCGGTATTCTCGTGGGATGTCACGGAGTGATAGAAGACCGGGAAAGGCGTTGATATAATGAGAGAAGCCATTTGGCTACGTACAACAATGTACTTGACGAATATTAGAAAGTTTTACGTTTAAGATTAACTCTGCATTATAATTATCTACTGAATCCAGTTGTCAGGTCTTTTTTTTTTTCCTTTTGACAAGTCTCAGCCCACAGTAGAAGATAATACCATGTTAAAAGGGCTAACTTCAAGAATACCGTCAGCCGGTGTAGAAAGTCGTAAATACAACAAAGTTTATGTTACTACTTTTGATGATGTAAATAAAAACCACCGGGTATTGTACACATTTCTTTTTTAAACCAATATCACGACCAACTTTTTTTTTTTTAAAAAAAAATAGAACCCCGCAACACAACACGAACGATTGAATAATAAGTTTTTACGTATTTACAGCGGTCAAGGAACAAATTAATAAAAGAGGCATCACGGGAATCTCTGGACAGAAAAAAAATCCTATCTCTTGTCTACTCTCCTACTCCTTAATTGCCTGAACTACTACATTTCACAATCCTCTTCCCCTTCAAGAAACAGTATATGACTTACTGACCTCCACTTCATCCTGTTGCAAGAATGAAACAAGGTCAGATCAAGCCTACTAAATAACAGTTCCACCCCTTGATTCCCAAACCTAAAGAGAGAGAGAAACATAGTAAATCGATGCAAAGACCTTGCCGCCACTCCCCCGAAAAAGAGAGAGAGAAAGAAAAAGCGGGCAACCGGGTAATTGAAAAAAAACGCCTGAAAAATGTCTCCAAAAAGTAGTTGAGTAAAGAATAGAATGCCTTCCGAGATGGCTTGAAACCTTCCTTGGAACGGCGAAGTAAAAGGACAAGAATGAGAAAAACAAAGTGGGTAAGAAAGAAGAAAAAAGGAAACGGGATTGTGCAATCGCTGCTCTATGTGTCGTCGTCATCAACATGAAATAAAAGAAGTACAAGGAGGAGAGGGCGGTAAAGAACGGGTGTGCTGTTGAAGAGAGGTTGTCGGGGAAGCCAGTGTCGAAGACAAATGATCGTCAAGAAGACTGACAGTATGGTGTGTTTAGGCGATGGCTGAGCGCCGGGTGGTCGGAAGGAGTGACGAGTAAGGAGCGATTGTGGATATGAAGTATCCGATTATGGATCGGTCGGCGGATGTATGAAGGAAGAGAATAGGAAATGAGGGAATAGGAACGAGCCCGCGGACAGAGACGCCCGACACCCGAAAAAATGCGAATACAAAAAATCTCCGAAAATCGACTGCCGTGGCGTGGTTGTAGGGCGCCGTCTATAAATGATGGGACAGAGACCTTTTTTCTTGCGTTTTGTTTCCGAACTTTTTGCTTTTGGTTTTGACCACCGACAAGGACGAACATATTGCTGGGAAAAAAAGGTCTCAAATCTCGCCCACACAGAAAAGCTCGATCTCCCCCAGGCCACCCGGCATGCCGCCTTGGGCCTCACGCCATTCCGAGATCGCAATCTGGATGTCGTCGTCGTTGCCGATGCTTACAAAGTCGCCATCTTCGTCCCGGTACCGCAACTTCAGATCGCCCCTACCGATACTGCTGTTGGTGAGCCGGGCAAGCTTGACGTCGATGCGGTCAACGAGGCTCTGGTAGGTGATATTAAACTGCGCCACAAGCGTGAAATAGAGGCCTGCGTTGTAGTCATAATTCACCTTGACCTTGAGCTGGTTCGGCATGGAAATATCGGGCGTCACCGGGGGCCCGCCTTGGCTGGAGGAGAGCGGTGCCGTGTTGAGACCCGGAGTGGCCGACCGCCCTGAGTCGAGCGGGGCGAGCGGCGCAAGGCCTGGGGGCGGAGGGCCGGGTGGAGGCAAATTCGAGGCGGTGCCTGGTGTGCCTTGACGTGGATACACCGGCTGGGCAGGAAATTGGGACATGGTCGGCGCGTACACCCTTGTCCTCCCGGGAGAGTTGTTGTTTGTGCGTAGCGGTAAGTCGTTCGCCGGGCTACCACTATTGCTGCGGGAGATACTTGAATCGTGCCGCACATGGGTAGGGTGAGACGGGTGGTTCTGATGGAGATGGGGCGGGATTCCAGGAACAGCGGGTATTTGCTGTGTACTGCGTTGGGGTTGCCCGCTAATATCTGGGGTGCTGAGGCTCCGAGAGCGCACTTGACTTGGGGGCGTTGAATCGCGGGGCATCACGGGCATGGACGGCCCTCGGGGGTTGCGGCCGTTGGGTCCAAAAGCGTTCGAAGGCGAGGAGCCATCGCGGGACGGGGCACGGGGCATCGCCGGCGCGGTGTAACGGTTATGGTCATCCGGGTTCCAAGGCTGGGGGGTCGAGGTTTTGGGGAAGGGGTACCCATTGGCACCCGTAAAAACGCCGCTGGTTGTGCTGGCGCGGCTCGATGCTGGAGACTCCGCAACGGGGGAGAAGTACGACTCCGGCGGACGGGGAAGCGGCGACACCTGGGCCTGAAGAGTGGAAATGTTCAGCGTGGTAGCGGGCGGGACCATAGGAAATCGTGGGGGCGGTACCCGATTGTCACCGGCCACGGAGTTGATGCTACCGTTGGTGAGCGAGCGTGATCGCAAGCTCGTGCTAGATGCATTCCGTTGTATCGTTCCTGGCATGGACACCAGCGTCGGCTGCGAGGATGTTGCCGAGAATGCCGTGATGTTGCTGCCATTGGTAACGGTTTCGTCCTCGCTATCGTCGGCGTCTTCTCCATACGGATTCTTCAGCTCGCCACCAATATTCTTCATCCAGGCGAATTCGTCAACTCGGTCAACCTTCTGCTCCAGACGAGGGGCGTTCTCCTTGCGCTGCTGCTCCAGGCCGGCCGCCCACTTTTTCATCATGTCCTCGTTCGTGAACTTGATCATGAAGTTTTCAACGCCGGGGTCGCCTTTCCACCAAATTTGAACGGTATAGGAGCCTAGTCTAGTTAGGATCGAGCACATGTAGCGCTGGGAATGCAACCCCCTTACCTGTCTTAGACAGTGCCACCACGTCGGTAACATTTGTCATGAAGATGCGACCTTTCAACTGTAGTTTGGCGTTCCTGTTACGGATTTTGGGACCGGTAGAGCGCGTCTTGTCCTTCTTGTCTTTGGTCTTGCCCGGAACCACTTCCTTACAACACAGAAGGATGGATTGGAAGAGATATATCTCGTACTAATCCAGTGTCAGCGAGCCGTCCACCAACCTGCAACCTCAAGGGGCTGCCAAGTCAGTGTAACATCAGAAGACTTACATCTTTTTCCTGGTCACCCTTACCAGTCACCACAGTGTAAACACCATGCAAGAGCAACTCGCCAAACTGTTCCACGCGGTGCTTCTTCCAGTCTTCAACACGAGTCACCAGTTCCTTCACTGCTTCCTTCAACAAGTCTTTGTTCACGGCCTCATTGGCCTTCTGCAGAACACGCTCGGCGGAATCAATACCCGCCGTCAGGTCCTCCTTGGTTGCCTCATCCTCACACTTCTTGAGGAGATCCTTCAACAACAGGGGGTACTTGACCAGACGTTGCATAGGTTTGAGGAGGAAACCATCAAGGGTGTTGAAGTCGCAAGCAACCGGGTGCTGGGCCGCTTGAATCTTGTCGAAGACCTCGCTAGCCAGCTGGCCAGCCCGCCGTTGATTCGCGATAAACGGTTGATAACACATATTAAATGTCTCTTCATACGCGACAAACGGGCTGCCCCATTCCTGCCTAGCTTGCGGCATCGAGTTGGTGGTTTCGACCCTGATTAGGAACTTCCGCTGGCAGTCCAAGATCGCATTGATATTTAGAAAAATGTCGTGGATTTTGTCGCCTGTAATAATGCCGTCTTGTTCCAACTTCTTCTTCAAGTCATGAAGGTTTTCCAGATCCTGGACGTATTTGCGCTCGGTGTCGACGAGTTCGCGGACAACATAGTCCCGGTAGCTCATTTGCGAGCCAGGTTCCATGATATCATCTTCGGGGTAGGGTTGGATCTGGAGAAGCAGGCCCCGCTCTTCGGCGAGGTCAAGCACGTGGTTGATGGCGCCGGTGACCTAGATGAATTTTGTTAATTGCATATCGACCCGGGGTTTGTCAAGGGAATCAGCAACTAACCTTGACAAAACCGGTGGTGTCATTCCCGGCAAGATCTGTGATAATGAACACCTCGGTCGTCGGGAGCATGAGCTTAGACTTGCAGGCCTCGACAAAGCGGAGAATGGCGATTTTGGATCGCTTCGCCTGTGACATCTCGGGGACTTCCTGGACCTGCAAAGGAACCTCCGGCTGGAGAGCGTTGTAGATGGCGAGAAGCGGATATCCGGTTCGCAGAAGCTTCCACAACGACTCGACGGGTCCACCTTCATCCGGGTCTGTGGCCATGTATTCAAGCTGTTCCATATATTCTTCGAAGCCCGGCACCTTGGCCAACCTTTGTTTCAGGGCAACACATATTTGGTAGAGTGACCGCGATGCATCGGCTCTTTGGTTGATGATATTGCTGGTGGCCATGACCTGGCCACCTGGCGCGGCCGCGATTGTCGTGGCAGTGGAGAGTGTGTTCACGGAGCTGGAGGAGTTGGTCGTCGGAAATGTCGCTGAACCAGACAGTTGGCTTGCGCGGGGCGCACCCGGCATGCCCATGCCATTCATCCTGTCCATGGTGTCGGCCGTTGGGATGGGGACCGTATTCGTGCGAAGGAGAGACGCATGGGCCATCTCTGGCTCTCCGCCCACACAACTACACCGGCAGCTCCAAGAGGCGGGAGAGGGGGCGCGCTTGGATCGGCTGCGGCGCTGATGTAAGGGTTCGCGAAGACTGGATTAGACACAATGCGAAATCGGTCGTTGCGGTCGTTGCGAATGCGGTCGGTGCGGGCGTAGGAGAGAAAACCACGATCGAATATCGGCACGGGGTCGTCGGTCGCGGGTCGGAAGAGATTAGGAGTTGTGTGTGGTGGAAACAGAGCCCACCCTACAGAATGATGTGGTGAGTCGGCGCTTGAATGGGGTTGATGGCGACAAATGTGGTAGGTGTCGCTGAGTCCGGCTCGTCGTCGAGGGGTATCGTTCTGCTACTTGCGGTGGCAAGTTGGCAATCGCTTTGTGTCGTGCCGCTGCCGCTGAACGCAGAGTGGCCCGGGGCCTAGCTCGGTCCCCGCCTAGCTTGATGATTTCTCCTCTTGGATGGAACACCGACTGCACGCTGTTCCCGTCGTTCCAACCGGTTTCCTTGCTGGTTACTGTTGTCGTCGAAAAGGTACAGCCTTCGCGACCGTCGCGCAATTTCGTGTTCGGATCGCTGGAGGGGAGCGACGGCCGTGGACAGCAGAGGATCCCGACTTGGACGGGAGTTGGGTCACAGTGTGGTGAGATGTGGTTTGAAACGGGAGGGTGACCAGCCTCGGAGTTGGTTGGTTGGCGTGCAAAGGGTGCGGGAACCCAGGTCGGGGGTTGAGGAGGCGCTGGGTGTGTGGATTTGCAGTGGGTAAGAATGGGGGCCATGGAGTGCGGCGGGGGTAACAGTGGGCGTGATCAATGCACCCATCGGTCCCACTGCCGCTGATGGGCCAGTCCGAAACGCTTCTTGCATTCCCCTCCACAGCTCTTTACCTGGGATCCAACCACGTGCCTACATTGGGCGAGAGAGATGATCGCCGGTCAGTGTATTAACGAGTAATTCGTGCGGACAATGAACGTGGGCGGAACCTTGCGGTACCTTCATCTCCAGACGAAGTACTAGTGTACTATGGTAAGCGCTGGAGGTTTTGGTCAACTGAACCGCACATCTTCGACGGATCTTGGACGGGGCCGTCTTAGCCTAGTTCCGCGGGGCATGGACTTGGTTTGAAACGCTACATGGTGCTGTCGAGTATTGGGCAGCTTTGTCGCTTCTTCCTTGCCCAAGCGAAAACGCATTTTATCCGTTGCAGCTAGCCATATGAGCTTCTCTCGTTTCGCGGGTCAATGCCAAGTTCCCACACTAGATCGCCTCGTTACGAAGAATGGAAATTCGACAAAACCAAGCCGGCGGACGAATGAGACTGTAGGGTAGGAAGCAGCACCTTTGCGGCCCCGACCTCGAGATGGATGCAGCAATCTCCTCAGGTCGGGCGGAAGATGTGCGTTTGTCGTTTCCCTCGAAGACGCTCCCCAAACCGGGTGTCCCCTGCATGTCTGCCAACCCGTTTCAACATCTCCACAAATCCCGATTAAGAGAAGACCAAAGGGGCAAACCTATGTCAGTTAACCTCAGCTTGGAAGGTTTCGAGAATAGTCACGGCCGAAACTCTATTATTTCCACGCGCAGTTTCTATCCCTTCGACAGAGTTCCTGTAACCGCCGTGAGTGCTGCGACAAGGATGATCCACACTTCCTCGTGCCCCTCCGTTCAAACATGATTCTTTTGATGGGCCTGCCTGTTTCAGAACTTCAGCCAGTATGCGCTAAACCATTCTCGTCGCCGACTGGTGGTTGCTGAGCTGCAAGTCAACGAACTCGTCGAGCGCTTGAGGGGACTGAGTTCTCAACAGGCACACACCAATCATTGAGATTCTGATGTTAATTTGATGGGGAGGCTGCTTGAACCGTCGGCGGGTTTGTCTCGCAGGCCGTCGGTGTGCAACGAAGGTGGTAAGAACCTAGAAGCTCGTGGCAGTTTGACGACTACACCTAGGGTGGAGCAAGAAGTTAGTGTACATACTATTTGTACACTATCCGTACCTAGGTGTAAAAAACTCCGAAATCCCGCACATATTTGAGGTTCATCCTGGACATGACAAGTTGGAGACTCCTAGGCGGTACTCATAGCGCTATGTCGCGAATGCAACCCGCGCACCACCTGGGCATCAGGCCGTCTGCTCTCCTGAGAAATGTATGACTCCTGAGCCAAGGGTTGATACCCAACTAGACTCCATACAAACTACCTTTGTCGGTGAGGCGTCACCGCTAGGACTTGGGCTGCGGCCGGCGCAATAGGAGGAGATAGCTGAAATATCGAAACATTGAGCGAAATGCTGGGTGCCTCTAACTACCAGAGGTGGTTTTCTCCCTTGAATGGAATGACGTTATGTGTGCCTTCGGCCGGTCGCTGCACCTCGAATCTTGGGCCCCGGGCCGTTTTCCTGTTGCAGACGTCCGGGGCAAACTTTCTTGGAAGTTGCGGCTTCCCGACTCGATGGAACTGCTGAAAACCACACACCTATCGCGCCAAACAAACCCTGTCCTGCGAGCCTGCCTTTGACAGCCCAGCGCTGGAACTTGGTTTGTCAGCCGTCTGCATGTCCAGGCTGACCTTTCCGCTCCCGCCACAACAGTCCGGTCACACCTTGGGCAGGTGCAGCGCATCGATTAACTAGCGTTAGGTTGTTGATTTACCTAACGTCGTCGCATCGGCCTACAACAACGACAACAACCACGAACAACCTTGTCCTAAGTTAACGGCCGATCCTCGAGAACCCTCCCTTTTGTTTCGGCAACCACCGCTCCAACATTCCTGGGCAGCAATCACCCGTCTGTCATTGTTGCACAATTGACGAACAGAGCTGCGCCACGGCGCGGCATCACCAAACAAACAATTGCCCCCCCAGCAGCAAATCGTCGCACAGTCCGCCCGCAACAGAGCGACCGACGCCTTGGTCACCCCGTTGGGAACTCCCCGCCATCCCCCGATTCCACAATAACCCGTCAGCAACCTTTGAACGCCCTGCGGATAACCGCCTCGTTTCGCTTCGCGTGCTCATCCCTCGCCTGTCTCCCCATTTCCGGATGCGGGCGAGATTGAAGCTCCATCATCACGGCCGGCCCTAGACGACGACTGAACCCCCTACCACGTGCGTTTGTCACACCCGACGAGCGATGGCGGGTTTCAATCCGCAGCCCGACGAAGGTTATTCCGAAGATCCCCTGACCGCCCAGTCTGCTGCACCATCAACCTTGCCGCTTAAATCACAACGCGAAGACGCCGTCACAACGCTGGGGACGCTAAATTCAGCTCGATCAGGCGACGAGTTTCCGCCATGGTTGGTGCAGCACATTTCTAGCCTTCCGCTGACTCGCAAGACCGGTAAGTTCCATGGCTCCATCTTTCTGTCGTCATCACCACCACAGTCAGACCTCTGTATCTACAATTTTTGTTTCTCACGGGATGTGGATGCTCATTAACGTAATACGGGCACAGAACTTGCCATGGCCCTCCTTAACGACCTCCCGACGACCGTGATCTCACAAATCGTAGAAAATCTACACCCTCGGCTATACATCGACTTTGTCCGGTGCCTCCCCCCGGAAGTCTGCCTTCACATCCTAGAGTACCTCGACCCTCTCTCACTCATCAACGTCGCGCGATGCTGCCGGGCCTGGTACGAGTTGGCCCTGGACCGGAAGCTATGGGAACAACTCTATTTCCTAGAAGGGTGGAAAGCGGTGCCCGGCGAAGTGGCCGCGGCTGAGAAGGAGATGAACGGACCTACTTCGTCCTCTATTCACGGCGTGTCGCGGCGTATGGGGTCGGACGACGACGGGCACGCGCATAAGAAGCGCGCCATTTCTCTCTCTCCGACATTGGATATCGACAGGGACACTGTGATGACCGACGCAGGAGCTTCTCTTAAGCAGGAACCGATAGAGATGGACCAAAGCGAGACCAGCATCTTTGGAGGCCCCCGGCGCCCACCTTTAAGGACCGGTATTTCCCAGCGGATGAGTAATCTCGACATTCCAAGCCCAGTATCCAGGTCGAACTCGAAGGGGAAAGGAGTGGACAAGGGTAAAGGCAAAGCGAAATCGACCGCCTACACGGACACCTCTCGGCCTTCGTTCCTGCAAACTGTCATGCGGCCACAGCTGGCCAAGTCAAGTTTATGGGCGTGGGATGGCTCGTCTACACGGTTCAAGATAAATTGGAAGTATCTGTACAGCATGCGACGGAAACTGGAAGTGAACTGGGAGCGGGGTCGGTACGTCAACTTTCAGTTTCCACACCCCGCCCATCCAGAGGAAGGCCATGAAGAGTGTGTCTACAGCCTGCAGTTCAACGCGCAGTACCTCGTCAGTGGGAGCCGGGATCGGACGATCAAGGTGTGGGACATGAAGACACGCCGATGCCTCCGGACGCTCGCCAAACACCGAGGCTCTGTTCTGTGCTTGCAATTCGATGCCGATCCCAACGAGGATATCATCGTATCTGGGAGTTCGGATTCAGACGTGATCATCTGGAGGCTGTCAACGGGGGTACCAATACAGACGCTTAAGAACGCCCACCGGGAATCGGTCCTCAACGTCCGATTCGACAGCCGCATCTTGGTCACCTGCTCGAAGGACAAGACGATCAAGGTGTTCAACCGGAAGCCGCTTCGTTACGGGGACCTTGGATACCAGGAAGTCGATCCGGTCGGAACGAACATCAAGGACTACGGTTACAACATTCCCATGACACCCGACGACTACCCCATTATTTCAGCCTGGACGATGATAGGGTGCCTCGAAGGCCACAGTGCGGCGGTCAACGCGATCCAGATTCTAGACCGCGAGGTGGTGTCGGGTAGTGGTGACCGGCACATCAAGGTTTGGGACTGGCCGACCCAGGTCTGTACGCGTACTATTGTTGGACACAATAAAGGTATCGCATGCGTGCAGTACGACGGTCGCCGGATCGTAAGCGGCAGTAGTGACAGCGAAGTGAAGGTATTTGACCGTCAGACCGGGCTAGAGGTAGCCAACCTCCGCTCGCACACGAATCTAGTGCGCACCGTCCAGGCAGGGTTTGGGGACATGCCGTACAGCGTCGAGGCTGATCTGGAGGAGGCGAAACGAGTGGACCAACAGTACTTCAAGGCGCTGGAATCCGGCATGCTCGAAGAACGCGAACGGCCTCGCGGGCCAGGGCGGCGTCCGGGGAATGCAGGGTCTCGTCGGCCGGAGGATATTTGTGCGTATGGCGCGAAATTGCCCCCGGGCGGTGGAGGTGGTAGGTACGGGCGGATCATCAGCGGTAGCTACGATGCCAGCATCATCATCTGGCGTCGAGACAAAGAAGGGGTCTGGAAAGACCAACACCACCTCCGGCAAGAGACTGCCGCTGCGGCCGCGATGCAGCAGGACCGAAACGGGGCCGGTGTCCCCCTCCATCCGTCAGTTCAAAATCTCGTCAGCCGCGAAGCCCTCCGAGCCATCAGAGCAGCGGCAAATGCCAGCCCGTCAGCGGCACCGACAGCGCCAGTAACGGCAACAACTACAGCGACTCCGGCAACAACCGCGACGACGACAACGACGAACAACGCCGGCCCATCGACTGCCCCGCCCAACAACGCGTTAAGGTCACAGACATCTAGCGCGCCCCCGGGCACCTTGACAGGGCCAACCCTTCCACCTATTAGCGCCCTTGCCATGGAGATTGCCCAGTCTGAGCCTTCAACAGCAGCGACCTTTCCAGGATTCCACCCGGCCATAGACACCGCGATCGAAGCCGGGCCGCAAGCCCTGGCGGCTGCCATCGCAGCACAGCCGGGAATTCTTGCGCACCGTAGCTACGTCGAAGCAGCCATTGACAGGCAACAGAACCCAGTGCTTCGGAGCCAGCTCCGGCAGACATTCGCGAGCGCCGTGGTCAGGGCACAGTCGGAACAGGCCCGGCATCGACGTGAAGCGATCCGGCGTCAAGGAGCCGTCGCAGATTCCGCAGCAGCGGGCCCCAGCGTGGGACAGCCGGGGAACATCGGCAGCAGCAGAAGCCAACCACAACCGCAACCGCAAATCGCAGCGGGCGTGCTCACGCCAGCCCAAATGGCAGCAGCAGCAGCGCACCAGGCGAGCGCACAGATTCCACAGGGCGCTCACATGCATCAGGTACCCTCTCCTCTTCCTGCCGTTGTCCCCGTTGCGCCCCATCGGGCTCCGTCGAGCACCGCTGGTGCTGGTTCCGTCGTTGGCGCGAGTTCCGTGGCCGGTTCTTCTTCTATTTTCTCTACCGCAGGCGCTGGTACGAGTTCAGCTCTTGCGGGGCCGGCTGTTCCTACTGTTCCCCCCTTCCAACCCCCCCCGCACGCGCAAGCGCATGCCCCAACCCCTCACCAGCTGCAAGTTCCTCACCAGCACCAAATCCCTCATCAGCACCACCAGCAGCAGCATCAGGCCCAGAACCAGCTCCAGAACCAGAACCAGGCAGCTGCCGCCGCAGCTGCTACGGCCGCGACGGCCGCGTTTGATGTGCCGGACCCAGCTAACGCGGCGCGTGTGTTCAAGATCCAATACGACGCACGGCGTCTGATCTGTTGTAGTCAACGCAGCGTCATTGTCGGGTGGGACTTTTGCAATGGGGACGCAGAGCTCGAAGAGGCGAGCCGGTTCTATGGGCCGGTGGATTAAACAGGGGGTTCATCTCGATGTGGTACTGGGACAGTTGGTAAAGGGGGTGTGGGGATCGGGAGACAGATGACTAGATGGATGGATTTCAGGGGTTGATATGCAAAGATTCCAATGGTCTGTCTAGAGCGGCTCAGCGGATGGGTTCACTGTGCATATTACAAGGGGTTCTTTTTTGTTCAAGCCGAGTTCCGGAACGCTACCTAATGATTCATCTTTGAGTCCTGTAGATTTCACGCAGAGACCAGCGGGGTATAGATACCTACCTATGTAACCGTAATAAGCGATTTTGTACCCTCATGGCGCCCTCCCGTTGCAATGTGCAGTACCCATGGAACTAGTTTAACTTTCGGGATATCCGCATTTTTCAAACGACAATAACTTTCGCAATACCTTTCGCAAGTAAACGCCGAAGTACACCAACCCAACGTCACGTCTCCTAGCCACTTGAGGCTTAACCAACAGCCTCCTTTACCTTCCCACCCTGCACGGGCGCCTCATCAATAAAGTCTGGCACCTCATCCTGCATAAAACTCGGTACCGCCCCTTCTAACCCCCCACCCAACTCCCTCTCCAACTCAACCTCCTCCCCCAACGCCTCCAACTCCGCATCCAGCTCCGCCTCATCCACCTCCTCGGGTATATCATAACTCCTTGCCAGACTCTCCTGTATATCATTCCCCACATCCAACAAATCCGCCATCTCATCCTGCAACCGCTCAATCTTATCAATATCCACCTTCCCATACTCCTTCTTCAACGCCTTATTCGTACTCTTCAACGCATCAATCGTCACCATCGTATTCTTCAAATTATCCTGCATCGTCTGCGCCTGCTCCATGTTCCACACCTGCGACTGCAGCTGGTCCCGCTGCGCTTCGTACTGCTTGCGTCGCTCGAGGACTTTGCGGGCTTTGTTTTTGAGGGCGGATTTGCCGGGGCCTTCGCGCATTTTGGAGAGCTTGGCTTGGTAGCCTTGGAGTTCGGCGTTGATGGAGGCGAGCTTGACGTCGATGGAGGAGATGCGTGTGTCGATGTTGGAGATGGCGGAGTTGAGGGTGGCTTTGGGCGGCTTGGGGCCGCTGCTGCCGAAGAGGCGGTTCATTTTGGAAGTTACTCCCGTCGGGGAGTATCGAGGGTGGCACTGGCAGGTGGGTGGTGGTTGGGAGACTGGCTTCGTGTTTAGATTTGGGCGATAGCTTACTGTGAAGGTTACGCGGTGGATGACGCCGATTCAGACAGAGGTTCAGAGGCTCCAGGGTTGCGCTGCGCAGCGAAGCGGGCTCAAGCGGGGCAGGACCGCGGGGTGCCAAGCCTCGGCCGAGAGATCACGTGCGCGGTCCGTTGAGAAGCCGATCCACCGACGCCAAGACCAACTAAATGTAGCTCGCACATTTCGCAACGCCGCATTTGTCATCCTGCGCGCTGTGTAAAGAGGGATGCATATCGGTCTCGGTGCGCAATTCGGCCGATAGAACACAAGAGCGAGATTCTAGATGACGATTTGGAAAATAATCACCGTTGCGAACCGCCAACATGCCTGTTAACATTTTCAGCCACGCGGCTCGCTTTGGAATCAAGATCCGTTGGGGTGGCAGCCGATGGCTAAGCAAAACGTCCTTGCATCACGGCCGTGGTGCCTGGCTGTTGGGTGTTAGTTGGGTGTAATTCACTTGTATAAAGATGGTGATAATCTCTGTAGAACCGGTGTACTCCCATCTTCATCAACATCTTCACTCTCAAATCTACACAACTGGCCCAATTCAGCATTTCAAACTTCTCAATTCACTTTGAAACAGAGCCACCAAACCTTATTCAGTTTACCAGCCCTACTCCAGGTACCAGCTTAAACCCCCACCAACACTTACAACCTCCGACCAGAATCCTCACAATGGCCCCCCAAAACATCCTCATCGTAGGAGCCACCGGCAACCAAGGCGGCGCCACCCTCAAAGCCCTCCTCAACCTCCCCCCCAACCCGACCAACCCCATCCACATCCTCGCCCTGACTCGCGACGCCCAGTCCCCTCGTGCCCAAGCCCTCGTCGCCGCCCACCCCAAAACCATCACCCTCATCCAAGGCGACAACGCCAACCCCAAGCCCATCTTCGCCTCGCAGCCCAAGGGCTCCATCACGGGCCTCTTCGTGGTCACCGCCAACGGCACCAAGGTGAGCGAGGAAGACCAGGCCATCCCGCTGATTGATGCCGCCGTGGCCCATGGGGTGAAACACATCGTCTTTGCCTCCGTCGAGCGCGGGGGGGAGGTGACAAGCTGGAGCACACCGACCAATGTTAAATCCTTCCTCGAGAAACACCACATCGAGCTCTACCTCCGCGACAAAGCCGCGCTGGCCGAAAAAGACGGCAACAGCAGCAACAAATTCACCTGGACCATCCTCCGCCCCTCAGGGTTCATGGACAACTTCAACCCGGGCTTCAACGCCTCCATGTTCACAGCCATGTGGACGGCGGGGCTCTCACCCACCACGCGCATCCCACTGATCAGCACGCGGGATATCGGTGTGTTTGCAGCGCGGGCGCTGGCCGATCCGGAAGCGCATGCGGGCAGGGCGATTAGCCTCGCGGCGGATTACATGACGCTTGCGGAGATCAAGCAGGTTTTTGAGCGGACGGTGAAACCCGGGCAGAAGTTTCCGCAGACGTTTACGTTTTTGGGGAAGGCGCTGATGTGTTATATCAAGGAGCTGAAGGTGATGTTTGAGTTTTTTGAGACGTGTGAGTATGAGGTGGATATTGCGAAGGTGAGGGCGGAGGTGCCGGAGGTGTTGGATTTTGAGCAGTGGTTGAGGGTGGTTAGTAAGTGGGAGACTTAGGTCACAGGTGTACTGATGGGTATTTGGGTGGGTGATACTGGGTACCGGATAGTTACGGAGAGTTCCTGCCTTCTTTGTTTTTGGCTTTTTTTCCCCATTCTTCTTTTTTTCTCTTTTGTGGAGATAGACACGGCAAGGCTTTTTTTTGTCTCTTTCATTTTGGAATGGCTCAGATGGAAGTAAGTGATACACAATCTCTGTTGTTTCTGTCGGTTTAAATTGAATAACTAGTTAGTTTGAACAGATGAGGTTGGCTTGAGAGGTAATTGATACCCGTTGAATTTGTTGACCTATTTCCATGACCACACCAATTCCCTTCCGACTCAAACCGGAACTAAGAAAAGGTCATGAAACCCATAATTAAAGCTAACCTTATTTTAACAAACGAGATGTTAAGCTTCTTTTTCTTTGATCTTTTTTATTCTTTTTGTAAGAGGCTTTCTTTTGTCTTTCTTGTTTCTTTCTTTCTGTCCTTTTATCTTTTTAAGACGGTTCAGGAAGGTAGTTAATTAATAGTACAATGTTTGTTGTTTCCGCCCGCGAGAGACGCCATCTGCACCGCCGCAGACGCCCACCCAACAGTATGACCTTCATCAACTACGCGCCGACCAAATTTGCATTTACCAACCCGAAGATGCTGTGTCGCAGTGCAGGATGATCTACGTCTGCGAGCACAAACCGCCTCACAAGTTGACGGCGGCCCATCTCCGCACGGGTCTCCGCCCCATGGATATCCCCAAGGAGGTGGTCAACCGGAAGACGATTCCCACGTCAGACGACCCGGCCGCTTACTTCAAATACTACACCGAGTTACTGACGGCGACGGCCATCACGCAGACATATCACTACACGAGCGAGCGACGAGCTACGGGGTACAGCGGTTCAATCACTGTCACAGGTGTACTGATGGTTAACTGGGTAGAGGTGATACTGGATACTAGATAGTTCTTGCCTTTTTTTGTTTTAAGCTTCTTTTTCTTCAGTCTTTTTTCTTCCTTTTATGAATCTAGACAATGACAAGAGTATTTTGTAGTTTTTTGTTTTTATATTCTTTTTCTTCTTTTTTTCTTGGAAAAAGAAATCTTTTTATAACAGTAGATAATGACGAGGGCCCCGCCCCGAACTCAGCGGCAATTTCCATTTCAGACAGTATTGGCAAATCCCCAGTTCTTCAAACCTATCGACAATATCCTGGATACTTTTGCAACTGTGAGCAGCGGCCAAATCGCGGTCGGCTTCCGCAGCACCCGCCGCCTCTTTGTTTCCACCCTCCTCGCTTACCGGTTCTCCGCGAAGTCACTTGCTTCTCCGCGGCCCGGGGTCACTCGTCGGCGCGCCAGGCCACCTCGGGGTTGAGTCGTCGCCCGGCGGCCCCGGCTGATCATTTCCCTCGGTTCGGCTTTGGCGTGTTTGGAACGAATCACCAGCCGGGCAGCAAAGAGTTGCTCCCGGGACCATTTGTTCGCGGCAGGCAAGTTCGAGATGTTATTCAGGTCTTCTTGATCATCCGGCCGGCCCTTGTTACATGCGTAGCGGTCTTTGATAGTATCGAAATAAGGCTTCATATTTGCTGTAGAGACACTCGAATTTGGAGGAGGAAAAGTGATAACAGACAGAATGAAGCGCTGGACAACTTCAGAAGCAGGGCAGAATTAATCAAAACCAATTATCTTGTAAGGCCTTCAAAAGTGTGAGGGACAATTTCGCCAGAGTACTGCCTCAATGTGGGCTCCCACCGCAGGGGCGGCGGTTTCCATCCCGTGAACCACGCACAGTGGCTTGATATGCTCCGTCAGTAGCTCGAACAATCGCTCGATGTGCGGGAAGCGAACATGCTTTTCCACAAGGAGACGAAGGGGCTGATGATGATTGACTTTGAACGGTCCAAGATGAGGGATAACCAGTCCTAGGACAAACTCTAATTCTCCCACGCCTGAGAGGAGGTCGGCCTTTATTCCTTTTTTTTCTTCTTTTTCTTTTTCTTTTTTCTTTTGTTTTCCTTTTTTTTCTGCTAGTGATATACAATGTTGGGTGCTCGTTAATTACATCGTATTGTTAAAGTGGGTCACATTGAATCGTTGATGAGTTCGAACAGATCACGTTGGTCTGATAATCGATAATTACCCTGTTGAACTTGTTGACCTATTTCCACAACCACAGCATTTCCCTTCAGACTCAAACCGGAACTACTATAGCAGGAGGAGGGCTTGAAACCTACACTAATTAAAGTTAACCTTATTTTAACAAACGAAACCAGATGTCGGTGCCGAATGTCTTCAATTTCCCGCCGAAGCGATTCGCCAAGTAATAGAGTTCTGATTGCGGCCGCCGAAACGACCACCTTGCGATCCCAACCCCACGTTTCAACCCAGGATAGGGATAACATTTGCATCCTTAAATCCGCAGCTGCGAAGAGTAAGTGATATCCAGAACCGTTCAGATCTCGTTCCGATCTCACTCGGTTGCGCGGCATCGGCGGGTTGGCGGCGCAGCAGGTTACAAGGATGAAGGATGAGCCAGTCAAGAGAGCCATACCACTCAACAGAGCCATCAAGAACCCGGCCAGGGGGAAGCGCAAGGCAGGCAGACAAAATGGTGAAACACGTTCCATCCGTGATCCCAGGGGACCATCCCGCTGCGAAACACCCCGGGAGCCCATTCTTTTCCCATGCTTCGATGCTGTGCCGCACGCATGGAAGACGGTAACCCACGAACGGGCCAGAAATAGCAGATTTTATTTGGGTCTTGAGCGTGCCCGCCTCTCAACTCCCCGACTACGCCGTGGCCTTGGAACATGGACGCCCCCCCCCCCATTGCTTGCGGCCAGCACGCCCAACGGCCGCCGACAGCGGTGATCCGTGGATCTGCGCCGTAGAGAAAGTGAGAAAGAATTAGTATGATATAAGAATGTTTGCACGGCCAGGCCTCTTGGCCTGTGTGTTGTCTGGTTGTGGACCAGCTCACTGTCTTCGTCGCCGTCGCCAAGATTCAGGATATCAGCATCACCATCAGCATCACCACGAGGTCAAGAACAAAGACTAGGACGAGAACCAGGACTCGAGCCAAGTAGTGTAAGCCAACAGCACCATCACGATGCCTGCCAACAACCGCCCCCCGAGCCTTCCCTCGATCCCCGACATCGGGCTCGACCTAGACGACAAGAACACCCTCCTCCCAGAACTCGAGCAAGCCCTCAGCGCGACGGGCGCGTCCAGCAGCAGCAGCACGACATTCGAAGAGGACGACGACGCGACCGTGTTTCGCCCATCGCGCTCGCACAGCACTCGGACGGTGGTGAACCACGGCGGCAACAGCGCCAACAACAGCGCCAACAACAACAACCCGTTCCACGCGCCACAGCGCCGGATTGTGCTGCCGTCGCGGTTCCCGTCGACTAGCAGCAGCCACTATGCGCCGACGACTGCTACGACGGTGACGTCGGTGCCGCTGTCACCGAGACGGTATGATGTGACGTGCCAGGTGCAGCCATTGTGAGTTTTCCTTTCTGCCTGTTACAATTTCACGAAAGAAAGCAGATTCACTAACCCCCCAAAAGACAACTCCCCCCCTCCCAAAAAACCATCTACGAATCCTGGACCATCACCTACCACCACGCCCCCCCTCCGCGCCCACACATCCTCATCCGAACCCTCGGCATCACCCTCTTCCGCTCCCCGGCCCGCGACTACATTCCCCGTCGCCACCGTCACCACCACGGCTCTACCCCCCACAACAGCCGGAATGGCACCACCGCCAGCACCATCCACGGCCCCCCCCGCGTAGGCAGCGAAGAAGGCGCCTCGATCGTCTCCGTGGTGCCCAACACGCACTTCGGCCAAGACGAACTCGGCGCCGCCGTGGCGATGCATCAGCGTTCTGTTGCTGCGCATTTGGCGCGTGTTCGGGAACGCAGAGCTCGTGGGCCGTTGGCTTGGTTCCGCCGGTCGTGCTCGTCGTCGTCCGGCACGACCAACAGGCGGTTGAGCAAACCGCGAATTGCCGGGACGGGTACTGGGAGTGGTACCCCCTCGCACGTCCCGAACTCGGGTGGTGGTTTCCCAACGGGTATGACGCCCGAAGTAGCCGCCGACGCGCTGGAGTATGCGAGCGATCTCGAAGCGCGGCTGCGCACGCTGGATTGGAAAGTGCAGGACGAGATCTACGAGCTGCTCGGTGATCGGGTGCAGAGCAGCAGTAATGCGTTTCGTCGACGGGAGTGGCGCGTTGTGGTGTTGACGGAGGTTCCGGGGGGGGAGTTGACGGATGCGCCGACGGGGTTTGGGACGGCGGCTGTGGCGGATTGTTTTTGTAATGGTGCTGGTGCCGGGGCTGGGGGTAGTGGGGGTGGTAACGGTGGGAGGGCGGGGAATGGGATGCCGGTTACGGAGTATAGGTTGATTTTGAGGGGGACGGAGACAAAGGTGAATGATGCCGGTTGGGGGTACTATAATCGGTATAGTCGGCCGTGGAAGGCGGCGGATGAGAGGGAGATTGGGGAGAGGAGACGGTGGTCGACTATGACGGGGCGTGCCGGGGAGAAGTATGTGGACTTTTAAGTTTCTCGGTTTCTCGGTTTCTTCTGGGTCTGTCTGGGTCTATCTGGTTACATAGCGGTGGATACATTGGGCGGCGGTTTGTTTTCTAGACATTCTTTTCTAGACTTCTATTTCCTATGTCAGATCAGCACAAAAGTCAATCCATCTTCAAGCAGTTTATTCAAGCAGTTTATTCAAGCAGTTTATTCAAGCAGTTTATTCCAAGCCATCTTTACAATTAAAGTGCAAGTGGAGTCAGTCCGGGCCAAGATGATGTTGAAGTCTACCCCCGTTCTACTTCTGCGGGACAAGCTCCGCATAGACAGCCCGCTCCAGCTCGTCATACATCTTAAACACCGTCTCGTCTCCATACGGAGTCAGCTGCACAATCAGGGCCGCACCAATGCCCGTCTCGGGGTCGAGCCACTGTTGTTGTTAGTCCCATGCACACTGAATAAGGTGTTGAAGCAGAATAAGGAGCAGGAGAAAAAAAAAGAAAAAAAAAGTAAAAGAGAAAGAAGAGACTCACCCATCTGGAGTTGCAGAAGCCCGACCACATGATACTCCCCTTCCTCCGCCTCCCCTCCACATCCTCCATATTAATCAACCCCCCCATCCCATAGTCCACCGCCGACCCCTCCGGAATTTCAGAGGCTGACTTATACGTCCACACAATCGCCCTCATCCACTGCTTCTGCACCTCCGTCAACTGCGGCCTCAACATCTCCCTCACCGTCTCCTGGTTCAAAACCACTCCCTCGTTTTCCTCCTCCCCAGCCAACCCCCTCAACAAAACCTGCAACACCCTCCCAAACCCCAACGCACTCCCATACCCCCCGGCCCCCCCACTCTCCACCTCCGGCACCTCAGGAAACTCGACCCCTCCCTCTTTAATCTCCCCCGTCTCCTCATCCCTCTCCGCCCTGGGCACCCATTCCCCCCCATCCTTCCCCTCCTCACCCAACACCTTCCCAACCCTCCACCCAATACTATCCAACCTCAGGGGCCCCGCGATAAATTCCTCAAAATACTCCCCGACCTGCCTCCCACTCACCCTCAACAACACAACCCCCGCCCAGTCAATACCAACTCCATAATACCACCCTTCCCCAGGCGCAAACTTAAGGGGTGTTAGCCAGCCGTCGACGGTACAACTGCCCGTGTGGGAGGTACGACCAAGCCATTTGGACCAGCGCATCAGATCCGGGTCAGCGACGTCGACGCCGAAACCGGAGGTGTGCGTGAGTAAATGGCGGAGGGTGAGGGGGGAGGTGTTCGGGATAAGAATAGGTTCGCCTTCTTTTTTTGCTTTCCCTTCCCCACTGCCGGAGGAGGTAGAGGCAGCGGCGTCAGCGGCGTCAGCGGCGGAGACGAAGCCTGTCAAGATAGGGTTGGAAGCGAGTTCGGGGATGAGAGGGCGGAGGTCTTGGTCGAGGGTGAGGAGGTGCGGGTTGTGGGTGGTGAAGTGGAGGAGGCAGGTGGTGGTTAGGAGCTTGGTCATGGAGGCCAGCCAGGTTATGGAGGGGGGGGTGAAGGGGGGGGAGGAGGGGGGAGCGCGGGTGCGGCCTGCGGAGCCTTGGTAGAGGGGGCCTTTGAGGGGGGTTAGTATAAGGCATCGATTGTATGGGAAGGTATTGAGTTGTGTTTAAGTTATGGTGGAAAAGGGGGGCTTACCATCTTTGTTGAAGACGACAAAGGATGCGCCGAGGAGCTTGTCCTTGGTCGTAGTGCCCTCTGCGACATAGCTTTTGAGGATAGCGTCGAGCTTGTCTGCCATGGTGATGGTGGGTTGGTGCTGTATTCTCGGTGAGGCTGTTGAGGCAGTTGAGGAAGAAGTGTCAAAAATAGGGGCAAAAAATAAAATAAAACAAGAACTGGCAAGTTGACACACAACTTCAAAACTCCTTATTTCAAATTGCTCCTTGCCTCTTTTCTGCACTCTACAATCCAAAATCATGAGCTCTTTACGAGGTATAAGGGGTTCAAATACTCCCCAGATCCAAGACCACAATCCCCGCAGTAAGTAACCTTGCCCCTGACGCTAACACCAAACAACAACACCGGCTTTGCCCCACACTGCCGAGACTTCATCCCCTCATCCCGAAATACGACAAAAAGGATTCGAGCTTCTGTGGACTGAAAGACTGGAGAATCCTGCCGATCATGACGGCCACCACCGACATGTTCAACTGTTACAGCCACGGAGCTACAACATTCGGTTACACGGATAGTCTTGGGAGCATCGGAGCTAAGACCTGAGTCACGCCGTCGTTCATCCCGGTAGTGTGGTCCACAACGGCAGCCAATCACTTACACGCAGCGCACTGCTTGCCGTCTCTAACACAACCCTCCGGTCTTGGCCTACGGGGCTGCTGGTCATGGAGTTAAGCTCAACGTCGCCTCTTACATGGGACTGCGAGGGTTGGGATCCAAAACGATCTGTAATTGAATCCGTCAAACCTTTGTTCGGGGAG